GACGCCTGGACCTGGCGTGCCCTTCAGACCCTGTACAGCTCAAACTCCATGCACTCTGGATTTGAGATGCTCTATAAACCCAGCACCCTGTTAAAACTCGACCCAGGACCTAGGGGCCCTATAATCTCTGTACATCCCAGTTCTAGGGCGTGGGGAGCCCCATAGAAACGCTGTATATGCCGGCCCTGGGATCTGGGGTGCCTTAGAGAGACCCTGTACATCCTGGATCAGGACCCGGGACACCCTGTACAGACCTTGCAGTAGCACCTGGAGCACCCTATAGCCTCTATATCTGCCAGTTCCGAGACCTGGGGCACCCCATAGCCATCGTCCACCCTGGACTCGGCACCTGAGCCACCCCAGAGACTGTACACATCGCCGGCTTCCCCTCTAGCCCGTGCCCACCCCGGTCCCGGTTCGGCTCCGCGGCGGTACCTGCTCCAAGTCCCCCACGTAGTACTGCTCCAGCCAGCGGCGGGCGTTCTCCGAGTGCCGGTGGGGCGGCCCGTCCAGCGCCGCGCTCACGTCGGTGCCGGCCCGGCGGCGCAGCAGCTGCTCCCCGCCCGGGTGCAGCCGCACGAAGCCGCTCAGGTCGTAGAGGCGGCGGTGGCAGGAGACCAGGCAGGCGCCCTGCGCGCAGCGCGCCCGCACCTCGGCGGCGCTGAAGGACCGCGGCCCCGCCGTGGCCATGGCCCCGCCGCCGGTCCCCGTCCCGCTCGCGGTCCCGTCCAAGCTCCGTCTCGTCCCGTCCCGTCCCGCCGCGCTCTGTCCGCACCTGCTCATCTGCATACATGCATATGCAGGCGGACACGCCCCGGCCGCGCCCCGCCGCAGCGCATTGGGCAGCCAGGGACGGGTGGGGCATGGCGGGGTGGGGAGGCTCCGCCCCACCACAGGTACCCAGGAGAGTGGGAATGGGGCATCCATGGAGAGGCAGGGCTAGGAGAAGGGGGCACAGGGTACCCAAAGGGTGAATGGGGAAATGAGGCGTCCCCAGCAGAGGGGAGTGTGCTCCCCCAGAGCCCCATGGGTACGGTCAGGGTAGGGGAATAGGGGGTCTGGGCAACCTTGGATGGGTTATGGGGGGGCACTGGGGTACTCCCAGGTGGAACTGGAGTATGGGCGTCCCTGGGGCAGGGATAAGGCTGCGAGGGCATCCTGGGGTGGTAGCTGGGGGGTATAGGGCACCCCTGGGGTAATCATCCTTCCCAAGTTATCAATCCCCCTCCAAGGTCCTGGGTGGCTAAGCCAGGGACACCCCAGTCCTGGCTCAGAGTGCCCTAGGAGAGCAAGGTCCTTCCTGGGGTCACCCAAAGGCCAACCCACCCCAGTGTCACTTGCTGCCAGGCACCGCATCCCCTTCCCAGCTGTCTAAAGATGTATTTCAGTATTTAATTAAATTTGCAATTAGCCAGGGGGCAGGAGGCAGCCCCAAATACCTCGAAGAATCACAGCCAATGACAAGAATGACAAGAAGGGAGTTTCCCATGCATTTTTCAGAGGGAAGATGTAGCTCTGATGTGAGGAGGGGCTGCTTTGGGGTGACACCCTCGACCACAGGGGCTGGCTATGTGCCAGAAAATTTGGCGTTGCCGGCCACACCAGGCTGCAACCAGTGATTAAGGTGAGGTTTGCCATGCCAGGAATGGGGAGCCCCTCCAGCCCCACCTGTAAGGGTGGGTCAACACACCACCTCAGCCCCCCGGCTTTGGGGTGCTGTGGGGCGCTGGCCAGGCATTCACCCAGGCCTTTAATCAAGGTGGAAGCAAAACCTGCTGTGGCAGTCAGCATCGGCTCCACCTTCCCATCCAGCTCCTGGCATAGCCCTGCTCGGGGGAAAAGTCCTTTTTTGGGTGGGCAGATTGATTTTGCACCCTGATAGGAGCAGAAGGGTTAAGGGAGGGCATGCTCCTGGCTGGGGCTGCTGCAGGGCACCTGGGGTACATTGGGAGTCCCTTGGGGTGGAGGACAAAAACATTTGCTGGGGGTTGGGAGGAGTCCTGAGACCTTGCTGGGAGACCCCAAACAAGGTGCTCAAGTGGGATACTCTCCCAAGGGAGTTCCTCAATGGCCAAGGTGGTCCTGGTTGTTGTGGATGAGCTCAATCTGGCACAGCCCTCTGGGGAATTAAGGTGGCTTCTGGATGAACACTGAAGAATTTTTAATGAGCATGAAGGCAAGGTGGGGGGCGAAGGCAGATCTGAATGAGCTGGGGCTCTCAGCTGGAGGCCACTGCACCCAATCCCAAACCAGTGACCCCAAACCCCAAGCATGCTCAGGTGCAATTGCCACTATCTCTTTGTGGGGTGCTGGAGGAGATGGAGGGGACACCTGGCTGTGACCCCACAACGCAGTCCCCACCAGCTGCTCTTGCGTGTGCAGACCAGCCCTACCTTGGATTTTGGGGCCACAAGCTGCCAAGGGCCACCCTCTGTAATCACAGCTCATGGCAAAGGTGGCCCTTTGCCAGCCCACAAAGCTGCCAGGTAACCTGTGGCTCCCTACTGCCATCCTCTCCCAACATGGGGAACTGTGGTCCTCAAATGTGCCACAGCAGGGCTCAGGGATATGAGACAGGTTCTTGTGAGCTGACATTTCACCTGCCCATGTTACCTGCTGGGTGCTGTGGAGGGGCTCTGTCCCCCCGTGCAAGGCACAAGAATGTCCCCACAGTGGGTGAGCCGATCCCCAGCTCAGCCGTGAGAATGAGGGGACCCTGTCACCTGTAGAGCAGGAATGCACTGAGCACGGATGGCACGGGGAGAGGAGGGTACCGAGACCAAGCTGTACAGCAGACACCAGTGAAACGGCACCAAATTGGCAGCAGAGGGTTGTGCCAATCCCCTGTCCCTGCTGCTGTCCCCATCCCTGTCCTTGTCCCTGCACAGTGCCAGCCCCAGGACAAGCAGGATCAGGAAGTGTAGTTACTTTGCTGATGAGCCTGGCTGAAATGAGAGCAGCCAAGTGGCTTTGGCTCATCAGTTCCTGAACTGGTTTCCCCACCAGACAGACGGACAGACGCTGGGGCTGGCAGAGAGGAGACAGCAGGAATGTGCTGCTGGGCTTGGGGCAGGATTAGGCCCTGCAGTGCTGGAGGGGTTGATACTGGGATAATGGAGCTGTGGCCGCCAAGGAGGAGGAGGCCAGTACAGGCTCTGCTTGGTATTGCATCCATGGGGAAAGGTTTTCCCTCTCTGCTAAACACTCCTTGTTTCTCTGCCAAACTCAATCACTGGGGATTAAACTTCTCTGCACATGGAAAGCCTCAGTGGGGATAGGGAAAACACACCACAGTTGTTACACCCTCAGTAGGAAAACAAATAGGGTTTAGAATGCTGACAGTGGCCTTCAGGGCACAGCGTGGGTTGTCGTGGGAGCTCTCTCCCTCTTCCAGCCCCGTCCTTGGGAAAGCTAATGGATACACAGGTAACAGCCCTTGGGATGCACTTGGCAAGCAGCTGAAGCAAGTTTTGGCAAGCAGCTGCTCAGGGTCGGACCTAAGGTCTTCCGCCCTCAGCATCCTCCTCTGCACCAGCCTGGGAAGGGTGCCAAAGCAGGTGTGGGGTGCGTGGGCATCTCTGCAGAGCGCTGCTGGCTGAGCTCTCTGGATGGAGGTGGCCTGGGATGGAGCTCCTCTCGTTGGCAGTGTCCAGTCACTCCTGGAGCCCTGGCGTGGCACTGGTGATGCCCTGAGGGAACTGGTTTGACACCCGTCCCACGCAGTGTGCAGAGAGTGCTCCTGCCTCGTGCAGAGCAGTCATTCTAATCCAATGTCCCCTTGCTTCTGCTCCAGCAGAAACCATGGATGGGGCATCCCCTGCCCTGCAGCACGACTGACCACGCTCCTGAGCACTGTGCATCAGCTGAAGGCTCTGTCCAATTCACCTGGTTTGACCCGGGCAGCATCCCCAGAACTGGTATGGTACACTCTCTGGCCCAGACTCACTGCCTGAGCAGTCCCTGCCTCCTTTCTCTAAAGCCTGCAATTCAGAGCAAGATTTGGCCACACTGGGCAACTTTTTACACTTTATCAAGTTATTCCGAAGAGCAGGTGGGTGCAGGGATGGGCAGTCGGACAGCCCAGAAGAAGGGGCTGGTGTGGGGCACCACCATGCCCCGTTTCTGACCATTTATTGCTGCCCTGCACAGCAAAGGCGACAACGTTTCTGTCTTCAACCGGCTCCAGGCAGGCAGGAATAAGCTCTCCGTGTTTCCTTGCTAAAGTCACTTCTGCATGGAGTGAGGCTGCTCCCAAAGGCACCACCAGACATGCTGCAGGGTGTGAGAGAAATGCCGGCAGCATCCGGGAAGAAATTCCACCTACCTGCGCAGGGCTGCACAAACAGCCACGGCAAGGGCTTTTCCGCCTTCCTCTGAAGTGCCGGCCGTGCTCTGCCTCAGGGGCTTTCACATACTACGGAGATGGACCGTAATGGACTGTAATAACACACTAAATACCACGATTTGTCGGTCCGTCACCTTTAAATAACAAATCTCCTTTCCCTTCCAAGCTCCGGGAGCACTCAAGCATGGCAATGGAAATACTTGGAAGCTGAATGGCTGTCACGTAGGGAGGCGGAGGGCGGGAGCCCCGTCCCTGCAGCTCCCTGGGGCTGCCGCGGCGCCGGGCAGGACCCCGGTGCAGCCGCCTGTTATCCCGGGGGACAGACGCTGCCCGGGGCCTCCCCAAACTGCAGGATGTGGCCTTGGGTTTGCCGGCAGCTCAGACGCCGCCCGGCTTCGCTTTCCCGAGAGGAGCTTCACAACCGCGGGCAGTTCGCAGTCTGTTCCCAGGCTGGTGTGGCAGGTGTCAGCACATTGTCCCAGCCAGGGCAGGGGGACCCAGCAGTCCCTCAGCTATTGTGGGGCTCTGCTACCACCGAGCCCCCTGCTTTGGGGCGCAGGGAGAGGGCAACACTCACCACCCACTGAGAGGAAGAGCTGCTGGAGGCTCCCCACAGAGGGAGAGCAATCAGAGCAACACCACATTCCATTAGAACAGCACTTAAAAAAATAATTTTAATGTTTTAATTGTTTAAGATACATCATCTGTTTATTCCATAGCAGGATCCCACAGCCTGAGCTAGCACAGGGGTTAGGAAGGGGCATGGCACGTGGCCCCACTCAGCAGGCAAGCGTGGGAGAAGGGATCAGTGCTGGTAGAGGTGGGGGTAGCTCCAGCTGGCTCATCCTTGACCACACATTCGCCCAAATCCAAAGCTCAGGCTGAAGCCAGCCCTGGAGAGGCACAGGCTGCACGTTCCAGGTGTGCACACACTGCACAGCAGCGTCCCTGTGCTGGGAGTGCCCCACAAGCACAACCCCAAGCAGACTGATCCATGAGTACATTCTCCAGTTGATGCTCCACAGTAAGAAAAGTCATAAACCTTTTGCCTCTGTGGATCCCACCATTCTTCCACACCCCCTTTTTCCCTAGAAACTGCTGCCTCCCTGTTCAAGAGCGTCACTCCAGCAGCAGCAAATCTCAAATTACCCATAATTCTCCCCATAGTGCTTGGAGACAACAGCCAAAGGAGCTGTATGGACTAAGTGTCTCTTTGTGTTTTCTCAGTGAGGGAGCAAAGGCTTTCCTAAACACCACATCTGTGGAACGACAGTGTGGATCCCAAATACAGAAGGCAGATGCCTTTCCCAGTCACTAGGAAGTGTCACCAACAAGACAGGGACAAGTTAAAGTGCATTTTATCACCTGGTCAGAGCAGAAGATGGAGACACCTTAAAGCCTAACAGTACTAAAACTGCTGGAAGCAACTAATCCCAGGGACCTGGGTGCCTGTCTGGGCTTTCCACAGGTACTAACTAGTGAGCAGAAATCTATTTAAGTAATCCTGAAAAATGCCATTTCCTTCTCTTGTTTTGTGGGGAAGTCTAAACAATGTAAACAGCCATTCAAAATAAGGACCTTGCTGCTTCCAGAGAAACTCTGAGCACAGTTACATGGACTATTTCCTCTTCAAGCACCATTTACAACTCACCTTTAGAGCTTACCGTTGCTTGAGAATTATTTCTGCTTTAATTGTGTAAAACAACTGTTTTGCTCAGTTTGAGCCCATGTAAGGAGGCACCTGGAAAAGACTCTACATTGCTGAAGTGAGTTTGGCTCTGCCAGGTGGGCCCTTTCCAGGGGAGCTTTCAAAAACCTCTTCATCCCAAACTAACAAATAATCACACACCCTTCTGCAGGAGAGAGCAATTTTTCTGGTCTGGCATCCATTGCCAGCAATGGACACAGGGAATTTGCTCAAATTGGTCTGAAAGCAACCTGGGAAGCGTAGGAATAATGGAAGCACTTGTAAACATCACCACAGCACATTACCAGGACGTCCTGCTTCAGCTCCTTGCTGATCTCCTCCAGACAGAGCGAAGCAGAGCTGACTCAACGTGGCTTGGGAATTAAATATCCGATCAGTTCCCCAGTGTCTGCACTGCTCAGAAGGTGCTCTCGAGCAGGCAGTGGCACCCACAGCCCGTGGGACAGACCTCCTGGGTACGAAACCACTCCATCATGTGGCTGGTGTGGCCCCCGTGCCCGCAGGTCAGGCAGAAGTTGGAGGAGCCCCGCACGGCCACGTGGCAGATGGCGCACTGGAAGGTGAAGCCCTTGCAGACGGCGCACTGGGTGCCGCGCACCTCGCTGCGACAGTGGCTGCAGTACACGCCGAACTCTGCCAGAGGGAACACACGGACAGAGGGACAGTTAGTGCTGGGGGAATCATGGGCAGAGCAGCCCTGCATACAGCCCCTCAAACTGCCCTGAACTGCCTCAGAGCTCCATCAGGATGGGAGAGTGGAGGGTGTTTAGACAGCTTGGTTTGTTAATCCATATGTGATTAGAGGAGGGACCAACTAGAGCACTGAGGCACTGACTGGCTCACCAGTTCTCCTGATGGCTACAGCTGTCTGCTGGCAACATGGGTTGGATTTCAAGCTTTAAAGACACTGACTCATGAAGGCTTCCTGCTGGTCTCATCTACTTCTTATCACCAGGAAGTGTCACTAAGCAAGCAAGAACAGCCTCCATTTATCAGAGAGCCCACCTGATGCCTCCTGTATCAGACTGTCAGCCATGGAGGAGAGCAAAGGCAGTGGGTTAAGTCACTTGTTTTCACTCCAATTACTCCCCAGAAGTTGTCCTGGGTGGCAAGGTGAGATTACTGATGTTTCTCTGGCATCCTTCACCTGCTTTTCTCCCCCCCAGGTCAAGCACATCTGTTCCCAGAGGTCTGTGAAGAAGACGATTTGGCAGCTGTACTTAACCTGAGCATCTACACTGCTGAAAATATTTTGGGAGAAAAAATCTCTTTACCTATTTGCTGGCTAGCTCACCTAGTTAGGCATCTTGCAACTAGGACACTTCAGCCCAGGATCAGAGATGAAGACAGGGCATCTCAGAGGGCATAAAGGACACTCATCAGAACAGAGCTGAGCATTGCTGGCATAGCAGTACATTAATTTTCCAGCTTTCCTGGAGAGATGTTACAGTCTACAAAGTCCTTGAACCAACACCTGCAAGCCTCACTTCCAGCCAGAACTGTGAAGAAGTCAAACCCATTTACTGGCAGAGCTAACCTCTATCAGAGGTTAAATGCCACATTTGCAGTGACATTTCAGTAACCAATGGACACTTCATCCATGCAGCAGGATGCTCTGCCTAAGCAGAAGTAAAATAGCTTGGATTTTGCCTTACTTGCAAGCTGATGGATTGAGCAGGGGGGGCCTGCTGTTCTTAGTGTTAAAGAATGCTGAAACCAGCTTGATCACACTACCCCAAATTAGACCCATCACACAGACAGGTAAGGCAAATGCTTCCTCTCCAAGGCTGGCATCAACAGGGATGTGAAAACCCTGGTAGGGAAGGGAGAGGCAGATGTTTACAGAAGAAGAAACCAAAGAGCTGATAGCATCTTACTCAAAAATAAAACACGTTCTGTTGAGCAGGCAGGACAACATTTTATCTAAAATCGTGTGACTGACAGTCAATCACATCATACCATAAAGACCAGTTCCAATTTTAAATGGTGAAAATTTTTAACACACCTCCCTTAGGTGTGTATGAAGATCCTTACCTTGGGTGGGGACACCCCTCAAGGTCACTCCTCAAAGCTGAGTGAGAGAGGTTTGCCCATGGTCTTTGCTATGGGTGGACATCAGTGTCTACCTGATAATTATTAAGCTAGGTTTGATATTATTTATTTTATTTAATAACCAGTGCACTGTATTGCTAGTTTTAATTTTCTATACTGTGTGGTAAATAATTCTGATTAATGTCTTTTTAGTCTAATTATTATCATTATATTCATTAATTTAAATAAACCCTTCATATTTTATTCATATTAAATAATTGGTTTGCCATCATTAATCCTGTGGAACGATTTGTACCAAGGTTCAATTACACTTATATAACAATTTTAAACCCTTGTGACTCCCTTGGGTGGGTCTCTCAGATAACCTTTGTCCATTCTGTCCATAACACATCCTGCCCTGCAGATTGCACATTCCTAAGCTCCCAAGGCAGAGTTGTGGCTCTGCCTGGGCAGCTGGAGCAGACACTCACCAATTCCCTTGTGGGGATCAGGAGGACATGAGACAAACTTCAGAACCTCAGCCCGCTTCTCTCGCAGGCCCCAGCGATAAAGGATTTCTCCATAGCACTTCTTAAAGTCATCAAATTGCTGAGTGTTGGCAGGATCCAGCAGCCTAGAGGAACAAACAGGCTTGTAATTGACTGACTCTCAGAGACTCTGGCTGCAATCCCCTTTCCAGTGATGGCTATGCAACCAGCTCACATTGCTGGAAATGCAGCAGGGCATTTCCCAAGGGCTGCTGATACATTGCTGAACACAAACTGCTCAGGCCTTGACTTGTTCTACACTCCAGGGTGCACACTCCGTGGGTGGACTGCCCTTTGGGACCCCCACCATGGCCTCTTAGGGATGTATCCTGTAATCACAGCAGTGCTGATCTGCAGGATGAAGCCTCTTGAAGTAATCGTGAGAATGACAAGGTCTAGGGGCAGGTGTGGTACTGCACAGTACCAACAGAGACCTGGCCATGGAGTTCCATGTGACTGAGACACAAGTAAGGCATCTCTGGATACCCCTGAGACACGTGATAACCTACCTTTTGTTTTTCTCATGCTGGTCCTTCTCCCGCTCCCGATGATCAGGATACATCAGGTTTCCATAGCGGAAGTCATCCGGAGAAGACTCACACCAGGGAGTGGAGGTCTGCTCCGTGTCTTTGTTTGCTGCAAACACCGAGAGGCTGTGAGTGCATCTCCCCCCTCAAAACTGGAATCAGGAAGGGACATTAAAGACCACAGGTTTGCACCCCCACGTTTCAGTCTTATCTCTGTCCTACCACCCTCTGCACTCCAACAAACACTGCCCTGCCTCCAAGAACTAAGTGCCAGCCTCTACTTGCCAAGTGCTTCTACTACACTTTTGGTGACAGGACTTAATAGGGATCACCAGGCAGAGAAATCTGATGTGGAGGAATCCCTTTTGCCTTCTGTTTTAGACAAAAAGTAACCAGGCAATCAGTGCCATGGAATTTGCTTGGGAATATTTTCTCGGGCGGACCAGGATTCCTCTCCCCTAGACAGGGAGGACTCTCATCGCTGATGTTACGTAAAGGGGCCTCTGCATGCAAGATGCTGCCCTGGGGGCAGGGAGATGACTGCTAATAACTGCTATAAAAGATTATCTGCTCCCCTAACCCCCATGCTCTCTTCTTCCCCATGTCATATGTGCCTTGATATCACACTGAAAAGTTGCAGCTGTGGTGCTAACAGGGCTGATGCTGCCCCAGGCCATGAATATCACTAAGAATCTGCAGAAAGCTCTGACACCAGAGCCCCACTCTGTCACCTCTGTCACAGTGAAAAACCTCTGTGGATATTCACGGCACCAAGAACCCAGTCTTTCCAACTGCTGCATTTTTTCCAGTGAGAGAAGAAAGCCCAGCACTGCTTTTCCCCCAAACCCTGTGGAATTAGCCCAGTTGATGTCATTTTGAGGCGATTTTTGATACTCATTGAATGAAGTATCTACTGAAGTCAGAAGGTGCAAGAGCCTCGACACAGATGCTGGAAGGCCTGTTCACTTCCAGCCATGGAGTCACACCATACTGGCCAAATCCCACAGAGCTGCTCTGGCAGAGCACATCTACAATCCCAGCCAGTACTAATTCCCTCCTTTCCCCACCACAGGAGCCATCTAAAACCTTGGCGAGAAGGACGGGACATTCCTTTATTTATTAACCATGTCTCATACCTATGCTCCAGCCTCCAGTGCCAATTCCAGGATCTGACATGCTGGAACAGGAGCCAGAGGAAGTAAAGCTGGGCTGTTGAGAGGGAAGGGAGCATAAAACATGTCATCTATGTGAGAGATGTTCAGAGATGTCCAAGACAAATGGGAAAGAAATGGTGATCGTACGTATCGGCTGTGAGAGGCCAGGTTGGAGGCACGCTGAGGAAAGGGGACACAAGAGTTGGGGCAGCCCTGGAGCCTGGACTGGGCTTCAAACACACTGCAGAGCATGGCCAGGGTCTGTACATCGTGGAGCTGTGAGTAATGAGCCAGCCTGGGAAATGAAAAAGACAGTGTGAGACTAGGCAGAATTCAGTGGCAAACAGTGAGACACTATGGCAGCTAATTTCAAGCATGTTGCATACATGAGTTTGGGTGTCATGATTGCCCACAGGAGATGTGCACTGAGGGACTGGGTTGGCTTTTCTGTCACACCTTTGAGGAGCCAAGTTCTCCTGAAAATGCTCATGACCCAACTGATGGGAGAAAGATGGGAGCTCTGGGAATCCTGCAGTACTTGGGCTCTGATGTAACACGGGAGCCATTAGGCTCCCAGCCACAACATCTTTTTGACAAAGCCCTCTGGGTGCAAGCATCCTGCACCTGGATCACAAGGCAAAAGGCTGCTGCAGGTTTTCTAGAAGGCTAGGAAGTTTCCAGTTTGCTCTGAAGGTTGAGAGTGATAAAGAATAACTTGTGCTGTACTCTCACTGCTGCCATGCAGAGGGAGAGAGCTTGGCCAAGCAACAATATGGAAAGCACAGCACACAAATCCTGCACTTCCAAATAGTGTGGATCAACAAATAATATCAATTACTAAATTATGTGCCCCCCTGAGCAGATTCACCACCTGGAAGACATTTGTAGCTAAAACGTGGCTTTGAGGCTGCTGAACAACTTCCCAGTAAAGCTAGAGGACAACAGGGAATCTGCAAGTGAAAAAAGGTGCTGCACCAACAGGCTCGTTTGGTGGGGAGCAGGAAACCCAAATCTCCAAGTCAGGCATTGTGGGCATGGAAAGCAGAGCTCCACCTGTGCCAGGCCTATTGCTCAATGCTGGCCAAGGAAGACCTGAGTGATAGGTGGAAGGTCAGGGGCTGCCTCCTGTATGCCAGAAACACATTTGGAGTTTCCCTTTGTGATGCATCACAGACTTGAGTTGGGAAAAAATTCATGCTGTGGCACAGCCCCAAACCTGAAATGACCCCTTACACATAGATAGTTATGGAGGGCTCTGCTTCAGCAACCATTCCTCAACCCCTCCCCAGTATTCAGACACGTACAAGGACTCCAGTAATTGACGTCCAAATGGATGTTGTGCCCAAGGTATCTCTAAATCTGGGTCAGACTTCGGTCCAAGACAGAGATCAGTGGCTACCATGGCCAGTGACCAAACCTGGCAGACAGGAAAGAAAAGCAGCAAAGCTACAATTAGGATTAACCACACTCCCAGGGCATAGGTGTACACAAATTCACACAGAGACAGACAGATAATAATGGAGCTTGTCTGCTGTTCTTTTTTTTTTTTTCCCCTGACAGCAGGGAACAGTTTTGGTCTCTGTGTCACAAATAATACAGAGAATAACACAAAACCAAAGCTTTCCCCATCCCACTCGCTTTGTGTTTGGATAAATGCAAAAGCAGAACAGTCTAGAGTCTATTAGTGCATTTTATATTCACAAACCTCAAAAGGGTTTAGATTTGATACAGTTCTTGGGTTCAGAGATGTCTGGTGGCAGAAAGTTTATTGGTAAATCATTATTTGCATGAGAAGTATCCTTTCATTAGTGGTATCACTGAGCACTATTCTCCTAATGGAACCTGGCACAGAGAGGACACAGTCTTTTCTACTTCAGAAGTTTAACCATTTCACATGAGATTTCTCCTTAATTTATCATCCTCTACTCTGAAAGTGATTCCATCTTGTCAGTCTCTATACCACTGATGTAGGACTGGTTTTTCTGCTGTGCCTTTAAAAATGGGACAGTTGGAATATTCCAGGGAACAGCAAAGCTCCTAGTTTAGCATGAAAAAAAGAGCAGGAAAGAAAAAAAGAGCATAGTGCTAAAAAGACAGCAGAAATCAGAGAACTGACAACATGGACAATAAAGAAAAAAACAGCCAGAAAAAGTAGTCCCAAAGCTGCTCCCTGTGAAACCAGAGAGAGCAAAGAGAAACTGAAACAAGGACTGGGCTGAGCAAGAGAGTGCACAGAAAGGAAACAGGAAAGAAGTCACTTCCCACACTGCTACAGAGCACATCAAACCTGTAACTTGCAACTCAAGCCTTCACATCTGCTGTGAGCTGCACTACAGGCTGGAGTTACACAGGGAAAACCCGGCAAGAAACAGAGTTATCTCAAAGAAATCTTGCTGAAGTTACTCCACCCAAATTCTGGTCCAATGTGGACAAACCAGACTGCAAGAGGAAGAACAGACAAAGGGGAACTAGATCTACTTTCTCTCTGCTGGTGTCACAGAACCCACCAAGAAGCAAGACAACAGCTTGAGTCAGCTTCTGCTTAGATCAGGTAAGCCTATGCATGTTGCCTGTCTAGCTCTAGGAAGAGCCAAATGCTGAGATGTGCACAGCTCCAGTGGCACTGCCAATTCCTATTTCTTTCAGGTGCTCCCATGTCCTATCAAATGTTCTGCTTGTTACAATGGACTAACCACAGGGAAAAGCATGGGCCACAATAGCCATTTTTCTCCTATTTTTAGCTGAAGGCAAACAGCCAGCCCCATTTTGGGGCCCCTGGGCCCAGGCTCTCTTGGGAGAGGATGGCTGCAGTTAGTACCCAGTGCCAGCAGAATGCCAAACAATGGGAACAATTACATAACTACGAAAAAAATTACGGATCAAAATGCTGACAGCAGCTAGGCAACTCTGTGCACAGTTACTCCATTTGATGACTCAAAATCAGACTGCATTCCTCACTTTGCCTACAGGAATTCCCTGAAAAATGTGTTTCACTCAGTTTGGCAAAGGGCATAGAATAATCTGTGTGCAGTCCTGGGAAGGAATCTCCCAATGCACAGAGTCAGCGAGGTGGGGACCACCTTGGCAGCCACTCCACAGGCCTGGTTCACTACCCAGAGACTCCCTGCTAGAGCTGCTGAACCCCAGTGGCCCTTTGGGTGTTGGTGACAGCACGAGCCATTGGAGGGTAGCACAGCATGCTGAGGAAGAGGTCTGGCTCCATGGCATACCTGTACGAGATCCCTCCGCCCCACAGCCAAGGCTGAGGCAGCATTCTTCTGGCAAGTCTCCTGGATGTTATTCACATTCAGTCTGAAAAGAAAGGAGGAAACTCAGCTCTGATTGGCACATTACCTACAAAGGTGGGGAGGAATGGGGAGAAGAAGGAATGTGGCTCTGGCAGCAGTGAGCAGCCCAGAACCTCCTGATCAATATGAGCCTCTTCGTATGGCCAGGTTCCCATCCCATCCTTCTCTGTTATTCAGGGATCACTGCCATCCTCCTTCCACTATTCCTTTTTGCTAATACACCACACATCAAGTCCAACTCCACACCAGCTGGGACTGATTCTAAGCAACACCATTTCCAAACTTCTGCCAGGGTATCACGAAGTCCAGAATCATTCTTGTCCCTAAAAGCTGGTGCCATTGGCTACGTGGTCCTGTTCCCATTCAGCCCATCAGTCTGCTCTGGCTGACTCAGAAGGAGATGGGGGCACATTGGGAAGAACCAGGCTGGCTGGGGAATAACACACCCACTGTGTGAAGCCTTGACAGGCTGGCAAGGTGGGCTGAGGAAGCCCATGTGTGCTTTTCTGCCTGTCATCAGAAATCTTCTCAACACTTCAACTGCTTGAGGTTTTTACAGTACATGCAAAAGGGTCAGGCTGTTTATACAAGATGTCCCAAGAAGAAAGGTCCAACAAGTTTTCTAAAAGAATATTCTTTTTAATAACATAGAAAGGAGGGTTTTTTAACTCTTTCCTCAGAAAAGAAATCTGTTTCTTCCCTGAATGTCTATAGACTGGAAAATCCGTTCAGGACCAGCCAGTATTACCAAAGCTAAGAAAGAAAAAATTCAGGAACAGGTTTTGTAACCATGTGATTTAGAAAGTCTGGAAAAAGGAAGCCCTTTGTTAAAAAAACCCCAAACCAACAAAAACACAAAAAATGTCCGCAGAACTCCAACCTTTCCATTAACACAGAACAACTTGCAGAACAGACTTGACACGTACAACCAAGTGGCAACATATAAAATCCTTCTGAAATTAAAAAACTTTATGAGCTATTAATAGTTTTACAAAATGAAAATGTGCACTTACTTAGATTTTTAAGCCTGTGCATTTAACAAAAGATTTAAAAAAGAATTTATACTGATAATTTCTCTCTTTAGCAGGTGAAAATCTGAACCTGTAACATTTGCATTGATGATGCTGAAGCACCACTTCAAACTCTGTTGACCACACCTCATCACAAATTCCTTCCCTAACATTTTTCAAATTTATAGCAGACAGGTCCCCTATCACAGGGAGAGGGATACCAAAAAAAGCAGTGAGGCAAGAACAGAGGTAGTGAAACATTCACAGATCCATGCTGACTGATGTCAGGATTAAAGCACAGCAATGCCAAACACAGCTACTTTCATTTGGGAAAGGATGACAGCCCGCATGCACTCACATGTAGAGCTCTCCCAGCAGCTTGTGGACAGGCAGCAAGCAGGAAATATCCTGGATAATAACTTTCCCAGCAGCTTTGATGGGTCGGTTGTTGGCATCTGTCCCCTCTCGTTTGCTTTTCCACCTCCTTGATTTCTGCAGAACGAATGGCAAAGTGTTACTGGGGAAGAGGACAGTGGCTGCTTGGGACAGGGAACAAAGCACTAGGGTCAGGAATAATGCAAGCAGCACCCAAACCTGCCTTTCAGAAGGCTCTGTGTTACCCTGGAAAACATCCAGGACATGCCCAGGAGAACAAGCATCTCCATCTGTAGGAAGTGAAAAGCAGGTCAAGGCAGCGAGCTCAAGGTCAAACTCACTCAAAAAGTATTTGTGAGTTTCCCTGTGAAAGCCAATAATAGAATAAATCAGCATCGGGATGCCAATGAAACCTGGGCAAGTTTGGCAGGAGGACTGTTCAATTCTCATTCTCTGGGAACCCTTTGCAGATAGACCACTGCTGACTTCAGCCAGCGTCAGCACAGAGACATGCTGGAGGCAGCTGCTGCTTGCCCTTGGCCTCAGGGCAAGCCCACAGCTCCAGATTGTCTCTAGGTCTGCCCTCTCAGGGTGAGAACAGCCCTGTTCAGCACCAGCACAGAGCTCCCACCTCCTGCTTTATCAACAGCTTCAAACAAACAACGGGCAGATGATAAAGCAGGGCCCAAGTTTTCCTAGCAAGGATCCCTAGCTACCATGCTCACAGCTACTTACAGCTAGCTCAGGACATGAGAGGGGGGAGAAGAAAGGAGAGGAACCAACAGAAGAGAACAAAAACAAGAAGCCAAGATTCCCAAACACTCCCTGCAACAGGCACAGAGGCCAAGCTGCATAAAGCTACCTTGGCTGTGTGAAACACTGTAGAGTATTTGTCTGGTATTCTGACCTCTTCCAGCTCCTTGCTCTAGGAGAGTGAGGAGGAGGGACGAGAGGGTGTGTGGCAGCACGACAGGCAGAAGGCACTGGAGCTCTACTGAAGGAAGCACTGGCTGCTATGCAGGGCTCCAATGCTTTGCAATGCTGCTCTCCTATGGCGTGTTCTGTCAATGCCACACAGAGCTCACAGACCCGCAGGGAAGCTCCTGGTCATGCTGAGTTAGGGAGGCTCTCCTGGGGCACTTGTGCTGGGGCTTCCCACACATCTCATCAAAGCAGAACAGCCTCTCTCTCAAGGGGCCAGCAAGGCACCACTGTGCTGATGGCTATGCAAGGCAGACACAGCTCACACAGGCTCACACTGGTGATCCTAAAGAGCAAACTGGGATACAGGAAAGGCAGGACTTGGATCTACAAGCAGGGTCACCTTTACTGTGGGTGTGAGGCCAGCTCTGGGATGGCTGAGTGCCAAATGGCTCTTTGACCATGACCATGCAGTCCTGGGAGAACCTGTGCGGGCTTATCAGACACAAAATGTCCTTGAAAAACTACTCATGACCTTAAGAAATGCCACTGCCTGCCTGGCCCAAGTTTAGGCCAATGTGCTGAGGATGTTGCCATGCTGAGCCTACTACTAACACATGCCACAAGAAGCAAAAAGGATGAGCTCCTAAAGCTTCTCTGAACACTGAACAGCTGAGGATCAGAGGCTCCAGCTTGACAGTGAAGAAGGCATTTCAGCCTCAAAGGAGGTGAAGGTAGGTTTTTCTAGGGATGTCCATGTTACACAGCATCACCATTTCCCTGATCTTCCACTCCTCCCCTGAAGAGGGAGGAGCAGAGCTTGCATAGTGCCCAACATTCAGAGGACCGAAACACTGGTAGAAACAGGGCTGTCAGCATCCAGTGCTCTGGAAAAGCTGACTGACTGGTTCTCTGCCACATTTATTCAAATCCTAATTCATCCAAGAGGAATCTGCCTGCAGTACTTATCTGTCCCCTGAAGCTGAAAAGCACTGTGCAGTGGAAGGTGGCTAGAATGGGGTCAGGTGGGAGACCCATCTCTCTTGAGACCATCAGTTCCTAATCAAGGCACAGTCTGGATCAACTTTGCCTCTCTCAACGTTGGGCAGGCTAATCCTGTTTTGATAACACCTAGAAGTTTAGCTGCCCTTCCCATGCTGAAGGATGTGGGCTGTGTTACAACAAGGTTCCCAAATAACAGTGGCATCTGTACCTCATTCCTTCTCAGGGCAGCAAATGCTGTCTCCCAGGTGCAGCCAGGAGCTGCTGATGCTACCAAAATCAGTGTATGAGTGAAGTTTGGGAGCCCCAGCACAATGATATGCCAGGAGAAAGAAGCTCAGGCACTGGAGGAAGGGCTACCAGGGCTTCTCACAGCAGAAGCTGTTATTTGTGCTGTGTCTGAGCAGGTGTTTGAACCCAGGCTTGCAGACACAGAAACACATTCTGCAGGGCTATCAACAAGAGCTTTTAGAGCCTGGCAGGTAATTTGGAGAGCAACTTGCCACCTCCTGACCATCTGTAAGCCAGCTGCCCCCAGGACTCACAGTTGATGGAGAGCTCCCTCTGCCCAGTAACTGGGAACAGATTCAACCTGCTCCTGCCCCCTGCAAGAGCAGACTGAAGAAGCCTCCCAACAGGCATTTCAAGACTAGAAACACGAACAACACATACCATTTTCCACAGGCAATTGGATTTTTAGTTCTTTTTTGGAGGAGAATGACAACAAATGAAGATGAGAATGAAAAAGAGCTCTCATGAATGGTTTCCACTGCTTGCTTTTAGCATATCACCAGACAAATGGAAACACTAAATGTATCAGGACCCCCTGAAAACCTGGACTCAAACTAAAATTGTCCTGTTTTCTTCGTTTTAACTCTGCTTATTTACTGGCAAAAAAGAAATCCTAATTCTTTACTGGTACAGCTCCACGAGTGGAGTTAGTTGATGGCCACAGGCCCTGCCTGTACTACACTTCCATGCCCACCACCTCCAGCCCCTACAGCTGTGACAGAAAAAAAATCATAAAGCTACATGTAGAGTCACCATTAAAAAAGGGTTTTTTTGCAATTCAAATTTACTTCAGTTACAGAAAGTTAAGAGTTAGAAAAAAACCCACAATCAGAAGTATGGGAACTGTCAGGGATGGGGTAAAGTTCACCATCATTGACAGCAGAAGTTCTACTTTGAATCCAATAATTGCTGGTGTTAATTACAGGAGTAGGTCTCCACCAGGCGGTATCTGAGCGCTTTTAACAGGGATTACCAGAGACAAAGAAAGCTTTAGGTTGGGTTTGTCTTGCCAAGGTCCACCTCCCTCCCATTCCACCTCTTTCCTCAGGAGGAGCTCCCACTATGGTGTAATCAGAAGTGTCACCAAGGCTCAGGGGCATTAGGGTAGAGCAGAAAACACATCTCTTCCTAGGGGCTGAAGCACAGGTCAGGATGGGGAGCAGGGAACATAACAGTTGGAGCTGAAGCAGAAATCAACATGCACCAAGCTAGCTGCTGGCAGCTGAAGGACAAAGGCACAGGTCTTCTGCACTGCCCACGACATTTCTAGCTCTTTCTGAAGCCTAGAATCCATGCCAAGGAGAACTGCACGTACCCAGCTGCTCCTTAGTTTAACGAGAGGAAGATACGAAAGGAAATAGCTACAGTGATAAGTAAATTAAGACTCATCAGTTCCTCAGAGCACGAGAAGTAAAGAAACCAGAGCTTTTATGGCAATCACGGGGTTGGAGGTGACAGCAGGGAACAGCACTGAATAATGACTAAAAAAGCCAGCCTGCACCTGCACTACTATACCCAAGGGTGTAATTTGCTGCAATCTGAGGTGATAACGATGGCAGTAAATGGGTTACATGTAGAAACAGATAGCCCAAGAATAAGCCACCAACTGCTTTGTAGCAACCACCATCATCACTGCATACTCAGCAGCAGGAGTTGCAAAATGCTGCCCGCTTGGAAAGGATGCTGAACACTTGGGTGTGTGTGCCTTTGGATCCTGCTGAGGCAGGCAGTGCTTTAAGTAGGATCCTGAAATGTAAAGTGCCTGTTTCACATCAGCATATGCAAAATTTCAGGGTTTGTGGTATAAACTGGCGTTAGTAAGACAAAGGTAAAGGTTGTGAACAGAAGAGAACAGACGAAATGCCAAGAGATTAAGCTGCAATAAGACATGTACAAAATAGTTAAACCTGCTCAAGTCGGGTTCAAGCTGCTTCTCATTAATTAAAAAAAAAAAGTAAAAAATGGCTTCCTCCCTGTAGAATGCTATGCTCCTTTATTCTGAATAACTGCCTACAGATTAACTCCCCCGTGTGGCTCATACAGCACTGCCCGGATTTTCTTTTCAAAATAATCAACAATTTACTATTTCCAGCATCTCCCACAGTATCAGGCACCTGCCACAAAGGCACTAAAAAACCCAAGGCCCTTTTGAATCCAGTGCCCCATAGCAGGAATATTTCTTTATAGCTTCCATCAATCAATAGCTGACACCTGCCCTGAAGCAAGGGCACATCAGAAGAGGAGGCTAGAAAGAAAGAGGAATTATTGCTTCTTGTAAACTTGCTAAGCTCTTGCTTCCCCAAACACCTTGAGCAATGCTGAGCTCTTCTTCCAGAAGGAAGGCACGTGATTTGCACTAATAACCTATACCTCTCCTTGCCTGTGTCTTTACCTTAGGCACTGCTGCCCCCTTTAGAGTCAGTTTAGCCTCTTCCAAAAGTTATCCACAAATACAATCAAACCTTCAAGGGTTGGACTAACCCCTGTATCCCTTTTAAATATATGTTACAGAAATTATAACTTTATCACATCACTACTTGCTCTTCCTTCCAGGACAGTGGTAAGGGAATTAAACTGTGGCCTTTGTACTCTGCAATTTACCACAAGCTGGCAAGTTCATTGCTTGATTTTCTTTCTTTCAGTCTGCTCCTGATTCAAGACAGAACTTAATTTCTTGCCTCTGCTGCTCACAAGGCTCTTTGCAAAAAGCCTTGATGGAGTCAATTAAATTACTTCTGGTTTCTTTCACCTATTATTTGCTAGTACAGTCTTAGAACTGTTGCAATTAGGAAAATTTGATCCTATTATACCAAGTTAAATTAGGTGTTACAGGATTCTATTTTATTCCCTGCTGTCTTATGAAGAGATAGCATGACGGACAGCAGCTGTGAAATAATAGTTGTTCATGCAGACATTAAGACAAAAAGACTTAGAGATCATCTTTAAATTCAAATGGAGTTTTCTGAGCTTTGTCTATGCTTGGAAGATGAGTGATGAAATAGTAATTGCCCACATATACAGCACAGCTTGAGCAATCCTCATATCATCAAGATGTTAATGAATGATGTTGGAGCTTGAGGGACACGTGGACCTGACTATTAGAAAACCACTGTCAAAGCAGACTTGGTAGGGCAGGTGCCAGGAGGAGGGAGTACCTGCCAGGGTGGCTGAAGTGCAACCACTCTAAATGAATGCAGGGTGGTACAATTCCAAAGGTTGAGAGAAGATCACAAGTCAAGAAGAAACTGTATTTTTTGATCCAGGAAATAAGACTGTGTGATGGATTGCACTGAGAAGTGGCAGTTCATTTTAATGAGTTGACAGATTGTTGTCAGAAACTCAACCAGTTTGCTTCTTCCACAGCTCTTAAGTGATCTTCCCTTCCTCTCCAGCAAGGCTTCGTCTTCAGAAATTAGGTACTCTAATGTCAGTCTCATCAGTTGTTTGATGATGTATAATAATCACTCAGCTCCTCTACAGTGCACTCTGTATTTTAGAGGTTGATCTTTTCCTACACTTCAAATTACCCCTTGCCATCCTTTCCTGACCACAAGGCCAGGTTAAACAGGCATCCTGTAGGTCAGTAATTGCACCCTGCAAACTACTGTCTGCTGCTGCCCACTGACACGTGCATCTGCTCTTGTGAAGCCCTAGGCCCTGCGTGGAGTGCGAGTCCCCCAGCTCTGTGCAGGTTACTCAAAGGCAGGCAGGTGGCATTTTATTCTTGGGCCCTTGGGCAGAAGACAGGGTCATATCAAGGACAGTATTAGCACAGCACACAGTACCGGGAAGTCGTTAATTGCTTGTATGGACCAACGTCGCCGGGCAGAGCGAGGAGACATCTGTACACGAAAACATTATACCCAGGAAAAGGGAAGAAAGACACCAAGAAAATTAAAGACAAAGGTAAATAAGCTGAAAGGAAAAGTGCCCTGAACCAGCAGAGTAAAAGATACTGTTCCCAATGGTTCTGGTACACAGCAAACCACGATTCCCACTTTCATCCTTGCACAATTGTACCACACAGCATTACCTGTGGCTCTGGCAGAGCAAGGGCTGCTGTGTCTGTGTCCAGCCTCTATGGAAGACTTTGGCAAAAATAAATCTAAATAAAGTCTTCCACATGGAATTGTATTACTGTAAGAAGCACTGAACTGCTTTGTGTGACCTTGTTCGTACCATGAATTGAGCAGAGGACAATACCCAAGTGCCCCACATGCCTGAACTCCAAAGTTCTACTCCTCTTGCCCGAAGAGAAAGGCAGCTAAGTGTAAACTGCATCATTTTTAACACAGCTGTCCAGTGCCATGGCATAGATATCTGCAGGAAGCTAAATAGACACTCCTGCTTACTCAGATTCCCCTTAACATCCAGCATCCTCCAGAACTTCATTAATTGGAATCTGCTGTAACTGTTCACTTTCATTTAATACAATAAAAACCATATGTCAGGATATTAGAAGGGATGTAGAGACACTGCAACTTGGCAAGGCTATGTGGGTTTTGTCATAATGGGTTGACAAAGTCATTCAGATTGAGTAAGCAATCAAATTCACTGATTGACTATGCCAAATAGCTCCAAAGCTGACTTTCATTAGGAACTTAAAAGAATTTCAGTAGGTACTCAACACAGTATTACAGCAACAACAAATGGAATCATTCAAAGCACATTACTGTGCACTCACTTGAAAAAAAGTTTTGTGTACAGAGCTGTAAGAGTCAACACAATAAAAAGGGATATTTGGGTCAGGTACAAGTATTTTGCATTTGTTTCCTGTTGATGATAGACAGTCAGGACCATCAACCATGCCTTCAGCCTCTACATCCCCTTGCATCTCACTGCTGGGAGAGGCCTACAGCCAGGAAGCCAAGGCTGGCTGCAGGGCCCCATGGAAAGAGAGGAGAAGGCTGCAGCCATGTCCCATAGGTTCCTCCAGCAGGCATCACAGAGAAGGAGAAAAGGGTTAGTTAAAGGAAATTCAGTAAAGTGGAAAAGCAGCAAAACCAAGCTCAGTCTCCCCACCAGTTCCCTGATGGGAAGCATAAGGACATCACTGTCACCATCCCTAGGTACAGCAAGGCTGAGCTGTCCCCAGGTCCCCACTGACACAACCCCCTACTGCAGGGGGAAAAGAACTCCATGGCACCTCCTTTAAGAGACAGGTTCAAAACACTGATGGTATTGCCACGGTTACAGATAAAGCTCCTCCCTTCTGCTGACTACTGCTCTTCAGTGGGGCTTTTTTGAGGAGTGGAAAAGAGGGAGGAAGAAAGGAGGACTGTGCATGTGTGAATAAAAAGTGAGAAAGAGATATATATATGTGTGTGTGTGTATATATGTATGTATATATATATATACGTATTTAAATGAGCACAGAAAGACTCAGTGCCAGATTCAGTTTCATTTTGGCTTATTAAGGAGCTCTCTACTGGAATCAGCAGCTCCTCTGCTTTTATGGGAACATGACATCTTTCCTGTCTAGCAATGGGCAAATTCCATTTGTTTGCTAATGGTAGTGGATGCCAGTTGCTGCTACACTGGATTTAAATGCTTGGTAATGGATGATAAATTTATATTGAATTTGCTGGGGATTAAGTTGTCTGATATCACAGACTGATGCACAAAATTTCAATTTTTATTTAATGCAAACATAAGTTCCAAGCTTCAGAGCAAAGAGTTAACTAAACTCAGAGTCTGGACTTTTTAAAACCATCATAATGAAATAACAAAAATACGTAGCATTGATCTAACAGAGGCCATGATATCAACTCCTGAAGAATCAGAAAACCTCTGCTGTAGGGAGATACAGGCTTTTGGGGGTTTTTTTTTAATACTATTTCATCTGCAAGAACATTTGAACCAGCTCCCTGCTAAGATTCTTATATTTATTCCAGCATGCGAGGAGATAGCTCGGCAGGGGAAGGGAACACAGGAATTTCCCTTGGCTTTCAGCAGACACGGCTGCACACATGCTTTGTTCTCTTGAATCCTTTTACCCTATGACAAAAATCTTGTTGCCATCAATACAAGGGCTGGGGAGACAGGTCACATGAAATTGCACCAAGCTGGTTCCACATGTTATTTTTAGCCTTGTCTGTCATCTTAGAGAGGCTGTGTGTCGGAGACAAGCCTGCTGCAGAGGACAGAGGTAGCTCTTTAAATAAACTCTCCTACAAAGATTAGGACAGGCTGTAATTCTTGTACCAGGCAGCACCATTTTCTCTTTGTGTGGGGAAAAAAAAACAGGATGGGGACTCAAGAGTCTTCTGGGGTCTGTATGGAAGCAGAACTTGCACTGGGGACAGGGCCTCTCCCCACAGCTGGGAGGTGTAAAGATATCATGCAAGCAGGACATGGTCCCAGAGACAGGGCTGGCTGTCATGCCCAGTACCACCAGAAAAACAAGATTTCTCTCAGTGCCCAGGAAGGATGGGTGTTCAAGGCTTTGACTTCTTCTGCTTCTGGGACACAAGTTCCCAAACTCTTCTGCCAGCAGAGTGCAGACAGCTTTTGGTTTTGCCTGAGCTACCTGGAAGCTCTTCACTGATTTAACAGATTCATGTTCTCTGCATGGACAGTGAACTATTCAAATGCCCCAAATTCTGAGGCTCCCAGTGAAAGCCCACTGCATTTTTGCAAGCCACTTCACCACCTGCTGAAGCACAGTTTGTTTCAAACAATCTGCTCAGCCTATTGCTCCCACGGCATTTGCTCCAGGCACGCCAGGCCCTCACAGCTGCTTTACAACTACCCTGTGACCACCCTACAATTACAACAGGTCTTCCTCACCCATCATGTCCTAGAAGGAAACAACCCCACTCTTCTCCAAAGCCTTGTAAACAGGAACAGCAAAACCTGCACCTAAACCAGAATTATGTGGACTGGAAGATCTTCAGAAAATCATGTAGAAATTATTTTTGTTTAAAAAAGAAAAAGGTTCAAAGGGGCACATATCCCTGAAAGAGATACTTGAAATAGAAATAACCAGCCATATCCAATAGTCCAGGAGAGGCTGGCAGTAAGCTGCAGTCACAACCCTTTGCAGTTATATACATCAGGGAATTCCCAGAACAGCAAGAGCTGCCTACATGTACTTATCAGAAGAATACAACTCTTAAAGGGTGAGATTTTAACCCTACATAATGCAAAGAGAGACAGTGTAATGCACTGAAGGGAACTGTGATGGTCAGCATAGAGAAACATCAAAATAAGTAGGTCAAATGCTAGAGACGATTGGTAAAGAAGTTACTAATAGGAGAAAAATCCATTTGACAGAACTGCCTACAAAAAGATGTCTTTTGGAGAGGAATATAAAGCTTCTGTTACTATCAATACTAAATGAAAGGAAAACAGATCATGAAAGCTGAAGTGTCAGGAGCAGTGTTTTGGTCTGGTACTTACCCTTTCTTTGTAGTAGAAGGAGCTAATGGAGACCTGCTCCTTCTCACTGCGTGTTGGGCTCCCACTGTACAGACGCAGGTTGCCCGGAGTCTCCGTGCGGATCTTCATTGGAGTAATGAGGCCACTGTGGTATGCTGACAGAGCTGACAGAGACCTGGGAAAAAGGGAATACACTTTCAGGGGCTTTTCTCACCAAAACATCCTGCAGGCTCACACTCACATCTCCACTAACCCAGGCTGCCAGCAATGGCACCACTGTCTCTGCTGTAAGGTGTAAGGGCCCAGGCTCTCTGTGCTGAGGGCACAGCTAACACTAGAGGGGAGTAGCTCCAATGTAAGACCTGGTATTTTCCTGCTTTCCTGCCCATGACATGAGCACACCTCAAACTCCACACGGGGCACTCACCTGGGTGTGGGCTCCATCGGGGACACTGCACGGTGCATGGTCATGGGTCTTGTGAAATATACCAGGTACCCTGAAGAGACAGGACATGGCATAAAGATCATGAAACAAGGAATAGATTACTCAGGGGTGATTCAACTTAAATGACCAGGTTTTCCCGTGTATCACAGGCAATGGGCTGGATTCTCACCCACTATCCTTAGTGATTATAAACTAAAAGCAGACAACTACATTCTCTCAACCCGACTCCCTGCAAACCCACTACAAAGCACGGGGTTTTTGAGCTCTTTCTCTCAAAAGCACAATTTCAAGTAGCTTATAGCTGTTAGAGAAAAGACAGGAAAAGAAAATGAGCAAATGCATGCTCATGTTTTTACTCTCCACCAAAACTGGCAAAGCACTGTTACTCCAGAAGTGAGGTGATGTTTGGCAATGCAGAGAAACCACTGCACTTTGTACAACTCTCTTCTTCAACAGGACAGCCCCAGTCATTGGAAGCCAACTCCAAAGCATTCTCTCACAAGCCTTATGCATTAGTTAGCCTCTCAAGTGTCTTCAGCCACCTACTCTTGAAAGAATTTCAGGACTTAGCAGGTTTCACTGAGCCTATTCAATGCAATATTATTCTGTTTTACTTTTCCTTAGGAATTCGGTGAGGCCTGCCTGAAAGCAGCTTTCAAAACATGCTCACACTAGGATGCAGGTCCAGAAAAGGCAAGTGTGCATCTGAAACAGCTTAGTGAAACTTAGTAGCTTTTCCTCAGATCTTAACATGGTTTTTAATGATCTTTACCCTCCATGTGCTCTCTGGAAACTGGATGTGATTGTACCCCATCTCTTATTTAGGAGAAGTTTCTTAATAACCTTGGGAAAGCTATTTTGGACAAGTGAAAGAGTGTAGAATGAGAAAAGAGTTGTTAGCAATATGAATATGGTTTCAGCAAGGGATAAGTTCAACCCCAAATCACAGGAATTTTGTGAAGACTGAGTGCCAGAATACACCCAGTAATGTGACGCTGGTAGGAGAGAACTCGGCAAGGAAAACAGCTACTCCCAGTGTTCTATAAAAATAGATCTGTCAATGCCTCTGGCATGCCACAAGCCAAAGGTTATTCTTCAGCTAGCCCTGCATTTCCAAATCCTAAAGCCCCGTATGCAGCCCCAACTGCAAACAGTTGCTAACTAGTCTCATCTCTAAATTTACCACAATATCACTATTTTAATACTATTCCTTACTCCTTGCATGGCAGTGACCAAAGCCTCGTCTTGTTCAGAGGCAAATGTTTCCCAAGACATCTAAAAGGTACCTGTTTTAATATACCAGTGACAAGGCTGACCTGCACCACAGAACCTGGCTCCAGAGGTCCGTGGGAATGGGATGTTAGAGTCCTGGTAGGAGCCATAGGCATTGGAGACCCGGGCGAACGTGGGCAAGGGAGGTGTTACAGAGTTGGACAAAGCGTAGGGATTGCTGGACGTGCTGTCCTCTTGGTTCTGAAACAGAAGTTACCCAAGGTCACAATCCTGCTGCCACAGGAGAGAAATCCAGCCAGAGCATTGGATACAGCAGTGCCAAGCAGCCTCACAGGAGGTGCCTATCCTTTGAGCCAGAACAGACCAAGCTCAGAGCAGAGTTAGTGCTTCAACTGCAAAGGCACTTGCAGGAGCATTTGCCTTTGAGGAAAAAGCTCCTCTGACTCCTTATCCAGAGACTTCTCTCCCACCATAACTATGTTGAAATGCAGAGCTTAACTTGGGGAGGAACAGGAGGAAACTACACAGAAAATCTGACCTTCATACTCTGGATATGACTCTCAATACAGCAAGTTGAGCTGAACACGATACCTCAATGATGCACAAAATCTCCTTGAGTAGGAATACCACACAACTGTGGGGTGTCAAATGCAGGTTGGGAGTCTTCAAGTGAGAAAGGCAGGTGGTGTGAATTACTGGGGGACCTCAGGACTATTCACAGGAATCCACATTTATTTGGATAAAGAATACTGCAACTTTGGTCTAAAGGAATTATTTGAAAGCAGTGGTGCCTTGAGTCATCAGACTTCCATACAGAGAAAGTTCCCACTCTTACAATATTACTGCTGAAACCAAGCAGAATTAAACCTTCACATGTAAAAAAAACCCCAGCCCTTTATTTGTGATGAATAAACAAAACCTCTCAGAAAAGAAACCTGAGGAGACTCTCCAATCTTCTCCTGAATGCTAAAAACACCCACTCCAGTACACTTCACCCACACAAAGACCTAATACATGACACTGGGATGCTGAGTAGGTATCACAGATCTCTCAGCTAAGAGCAGAGTGTGACTTGGATTTATCTGCAGTATCATCCCTACAAAACCTCAGCACAAGGCTGCAGAAAAAAACCCCAGATTTTCACAGTTTGGGTTTTTTTAGGGAAGAAAACAAAAACCCTAGAATAGGACTAGCGGGATCTTTGACTAAAACTGAGGAGGTAAAGACATCTGCCACTGCCTTTCAGACAAGAATGAATCCATCAACAACCTGAGGCCTCTTATCTTCTCTCACAGATGATGCCATGCCCTGGCAATGAAATATATTCTGAGCTGGGAAGCTACCACGCACCACTAAGAATCTCCAATCTCCAGTCACTCCTGGTAACCTGGATATCAGAGTTCCTCAAAACAGCAAACCTTCAGGGCCTCATTTGTGGAAAACAAAATACATCTAATCATCCAGCCAGCTCTCTTCAACATCAACCAGAAGTGCTCACACAAATGTAATGGCCAGTCACAGGGGTCTATTTACACATCTAACGAGGCCAGACTCTCACTGCAGAGTCAAGTGTGGGACATGGGAAAAGACAACAAACTAGGGCAGAGAGCCCACACAATTCTCCATACCACGACAGACTCCAGCCAGGAGACCAGCTGACGCAGGCAAGGCTCCAGGCAGCTCTGGTTCCGCTTCACTTTCTGCAGGGAAGTATCTTTCAGTATCTGGAATACATACAAGATACAACTTTATTCATGGTTACCTCCATGCTTTGTCCACATCCTTTTTATCTGCTGAGCAGCTTAAATGCCAGGACCTGAAGAGGTCACAGACATCCCCTAACATCCACTGGGGCCACGGGTGTGCTGTCTGCTCTGAGGAATGGCTGTGTGCTTTGATCAGAGCACTGAGGTTCACCTAGCAGCACACTGAGCCAGGATTTAGGCTTCAATATTACTGCAGCCCATATGTTTCATACCAGTTTGTGGCAAACTGGATCAGGTTTTTTTCAGGAAGAAACCCAAACTGATCCATCAATGTGTTGCTGGGGAAGGGATTTCATTAGCAATAGGATTTGCTACACCAGATGATCAAACACCTGGTCCAAATTAGCAGGGCCTGCGTAAAAAAAAATCCCCCTCATTTTTAAAGCAGCTTGTGTAGTAGAGCAGGAAATAACATCCCAGCTCAAAAATAGTATCATTCTGCAGCTGGATGCTTAGCTGGTCATTTTGTCTATTATTGGGTTGAGGGCAACTGCATGAGGAGAAGGATGTTAGGGATCCTCAGGCAATACACATCACACTGGAACACAACAGCAATGAAGAAGCAGCGGAAAAAGGCAAATACTGGGCTGCAGCATCAACAAAAACCTCATCCTATGGGCTTCACAATTTATCAGTTCAAAATGACCTGTGGTATGTCTTCAGCAAGGTCTGATGTTTGGTTATGTCTCAAAAATCCAGATGTTAAGCATCCATCATTTGTACATTTATAAAGACACTCTATACTCCTCACACACCTTCAGCAGCTTTGCCTTCATGGAAGCTGTGATGGAGGTTGGGTTGATGAACTGGAAGGACGGTGCAGCATTATTGGGATACTGGACAGGGAACATCACCAGCATCCTGACCCTGTGGTTGCCACAGTGCACCGACACCGTACAGCTGCGACTCACCGCATCCATCTGTGAAGAAAAGCAATTGCTCTCTTGTTAGATCTCCCACGACTTTTACACTTACAGTGGCTTAAATTCATGCTGAGGGAATGGTTCTTCTGCACATAAGATGAAGTCATGCTGTTCTCAAGGGCAGGGAACACAGTGACAGCAAAAACCCCCAGGCAGATGGGGACAGGCTCAGCTTGCACCAGCACTGACATTCCAGCATCCCAGCATTTGGAGACCATGGCCAGTCCAGGTAGCACCAAGAAAGGGGCTCTGCTCCCAACAGCCACTGCACCCCAACCCACTTCACCTGGCCACGGAGAACTCCAGGCCCAGTGCAGCAGTAACAGGCACCTTCTAAGATCCTGCACCACTGTGTTAGAGAACTACATCAGGATCATGCCATGAGCTGTGAAACCACAGGGGTCGGGAAAGGAGACAGGCAGTGCCTCGAGCCTCCCAGCCCAGTTCAGTGCTGTGCCTCTAGCCAGCTTCCACGCACAGAGGAGAGTTTGGAGTTTGAGGGAGAGGGCAAAACCGAGGGACAAAGTTCAGGATAGGGAGGGCTCAGCAGACGAGATTCAGAACAAGCTGAAATGAGATCAACTGCATGGGACAAGTCACCTTCCACTCTGCAGTCTAGACAGAGAAGAAAACACCATCCAGCCTTCTAAAGATCAGACAGTGTACTTACTGTACTAAAACATTTCTCTCACACCAGTGTCTGGGATTATCCTCTTTCTTTGCCCCTGGTCAGGAGGATCTTGATAGCTCAACATAAAACTTGTTTACAGACAGCAGTCACTGCAGCAAAGAAGGTTCCCCTCTAAAGCTCCAATAAGCCAGCCTGCCCACATCCCCTCCTAACAAGCCAGCAAAAGGAAACTCTGTACCTCCACATTAACATTTCGGATCTGCACATTGATCAGTGAAAACTCCTGCTGCAGTGTTTGAGGCAGCCCCAGTTGGTCCGTTTTCTTTCCCACCAGGGGGTCATTCAGGAAATCTTCTTTTAAGGCTGACAGGAAAGATGGAAAACAAGTTGAGACAAGCTATAATAGGCAGAGTTTTTCACATTATGTCATGAGGCAGCCAAGACAGCAGGTTTTCCTCTGCTCTTCTGACACATGGAGGTATGAGTTTTACCTGGCAAAGACCTGTGAGCTGGAGGGTCTCAGCTGTTGTTTGGAGGTAAGTTTCTGACCCCTCTCTTCAAAAAGCCAAAGCTGTCTGCACACAGGGTTCAGGAAGGTTACAGAACCTGCCTGTACTCTGTACAGTCCTAAATAGTCCTTCTCTTCTCATGTGAGACCCTTTTCCCTCCCTACACAGTGCTTCCAGAGCCACGACCGACTGAACTGGAGTGTCTCAGTTCAGCAGGAAAGAACTGCAGCCCTAGCAGTCTCCAGGAGGAGCTCTGGTCTTTGGGACTAACACCCCACCACTCCTGACTTTCAGGGAAAGCTTCCAAAGCATAACAATGCTTTGCGAGAGAGCAGGGAGTATTTCTGGTCCTAATAAAAGCTTAATTCATTTGCAGCAGCCATTTGCATTTAATGTTGCAAAGCACTCTAGTGCTTTAACAGCCGTTAAAGACTCATCAAAATACTGGGTCTAACTCTCCAGTTCCAGCAGTTTTTAGGAGGACAACAACCCCTGAAGGCCAGAACACATTTAAACAGACAGGCAAGCGCTGCAGGACACAAAGAATTACAGTTAAGATAACAAACTTCACTGAGTTTCAGAAGAATTGGTCTCTGCCTGTGGTTGTGCCAGGCTTTTGCCTCGTTTCTTGCTGTGTACCTCCATAAGGGTGTTTTGCTGTGGCACCATTTCTTAAGAAGGCCAAATATATTTTTTGACGGTGGTTCCAAGGACAGAAAGAAAGTTATGATTTTTCAGCAGTCATTCTCACACTTGCAATATCACGTTGCATAGACAGTCCCCAGCAAAAAACAAACAAATGAAAATAAATGCAAGAAGTTGACCTTTTACAGGCATTCGCTTAGTAGTTACTGACTTTGCTGCAGGGACAAATATCTGGTATTACCACTACCCAATGGGTTGCTGGATTTGGATAGGTAGGATGCTTAGCCAATCATTCTTGTTTGCAATTCAATTACAGTGCTTAGATACATTCCAGAAAAGGGAGCTGAAAAGGAGATTAAAGGAAGATCAGTGGCTCTCAGGAAAGATAATTATTTCTAGCTCAAGATACCACATAGCTTACTGAAAAGCCATCTCTGAGGTTCCCAGTATGGGCAGTACCCTCCCTTTGTCTTCTCCTCCCATTCCCTTCCAATTAGTTTTTAATCCTCCAAAGCCATGCATTGGAACAGATTCCTAAAGCTCCTCTATAAGCAGCAGTGAGAGCTGTGCAGTGAAGGCACAGCCGGGGCTCTCTCATTCACCTGCAGCACGCTGATCTCTTCAAAAGATCCCCCAAAGAGCTTTACTAATAGAACATGGAAGCTTTGTCTGCAGCTGAAATGCAGCCACACCCAGAGTGAAACATCAGGAGTCCACAATAGCTTTTTGGCTGGAAAGAATTGAAATTCCTACCTAGGGATTTGCTTGTGCATTAATCCTGCAGTCATGTTATTTGCAGCAAAATCTACCCTGCTACAGAAAAGCCATATTCATTCCCTTTGGCCACGAGGAAAACCATAACAGTCTGAACCAAAGAAGAAACTGCATGGAAACCAGACCTACACAGAAACCACATGGGATGTCTGGATGTGCCTCATTAGGGACAGTGGAAGAGTTAACTCTCTCCTGTGGAACAAAGAGAGGTCAGGCAGCCAGAAGGAGAATGCTCCCAGCTGGAGCAAGAGAGGTTGTGCTGCCCCAGTAGTACTGCTCATGGGGAGCACAGGTACCTTGGGCTTTTTCTATCATCTTATAAAACCCTAACATAGACAGAAGTTCTGATGGCTTTCAGAAACTTTATCTGTTGCAACACAGGACAGGAGGTAGAGAGGAACTTCACTGACAATTGCTGAGCAAGAAACTTCCAGTTAGGAAGAGATGCTTTCATTAAGAGACCTCCCAACTGTTCCTATACTCAAAGAGCAGACATTAGACCACTTTCTCCCCTTCTCTGCAGTCTATTGGCAAGCCAAAGGGAGAATCAAATTGCTTCTCTATAAACCCATCACATGGGGATCCATTGTGGCACAGCTACAACACTGAAAGGAGCTGTGAATTTAAATCCAAACTGATAAAGGCATTGGTGCACCCAATTCTTCTTCCTCAGTGTAGCTGTAGAAACCCCTTTAGGTACCTTTTTTCCATGCACATCATCATGGGATGCTATAATCTCTTCTCCTTGTACTTACACTATTCAAACACTAACCCTGGCCAGACCCTTAACCACACAAACCCTCCATGTTCCTTCCTTGCATGCCTTCTTTTCTGTAGGGACAAACAAATACTTTCTGTCACAGTGCCTCCCAGCCACCCCTCGGTATCTCAGAAGCCAGAGATACTATCCCTCCCTCCCTGCTCTGCCAGCCTTCAGCCACCTCTCATCAGTACATTACCAAAAATTCATGATCTGCCTCCGTATCTGGTTCTGGTGAAGACATCAGCAAACACCTCCTTGTTAGATCAGTTCACACACTGACCCCAGCAGAAATGTTTAGGTAGCAGGTGTGATATAAGCAGCTTGTGTCACAGTGCCTTACTCACACACTCCCTCTTCTGTGGGCTCATTTCTCAGCTTAAACTAATCTATCTTCTTAAAAGACAGAACTTACTTTCTGATTGCCTTACTTTTGGGAACAAGCCACAACTACAACCTAAAGAGCTGCAATTAAATAAAAACCCTAACAAGGAAGAATTTAATTTTACAGCTAGAATCATTGTATTTGAAGAGAAGAAACTTAAGAGGACCATCCTGAGGATCCCCTAGGTTTTTTCCTCCTCCCTGACGAGGAATCCATTAACCTTTGAAACAGAGGTAGTTGTGCTTTGTCTATGTTTTCTTATGCCAAGATTTAACTTCTTCCCAATACAAAGATGCTGGTGTTTGAGGTTCCACAAGCCATGGCTTCTCTCACCTTCCTCATCTCCATGTCCAGAGTTATGCTGGGGCTCCGTGTCCTGGGGGTGAAGGGTCTTGTCTGGCTCTGGCAGATGAGAAATCCCATCAATGAGGTCCTCAACTCCATCCAGGATATCATTAGCACACAGCTGAAAAGAACAAAGACACCCACATGCTGCACAACAGAATCCAAGTTGTGGGAAGAGTCACCACTAAACAACTCACTTCTCCAGACAGATGGATTTGCAAGGTAGGTCCATCCACGCAACTGTCATGACTAAGACTGCATTGTTCCTGTGACAAAGACAGGCCATCTTGCACTTTCCAGCACCCTCAACTCTGTCACCTCAGACAGCCTGGCCAAATCTCCTGCCCACTTAAAAAGCCACTTAATTGGCAGGGCCAGTCTAGGAAATAGAGGTTTAGCTTTAGTCAAAACTAAAACTGATATTACTTTTCATTCCATTAATTTGTTAAATCTTGTTTAATTTTTTAGATCAAATTTAACAGTAGTACACTTTCTGCATTTGATATTTACACTCCAGTAGGATCTAGAGACCCAGGTACATACGTGGGGCCCTATTGTTCTAGGTCCTGTATCAAAATGAGACTATAAAACCCTGGATTTTAAGTTCAGCACAAGAAAACTGGGAATGTGAAGGGAGGAAAAAGGATAACGGTGTGATGTAGCAAATTACAGCATTGGTCACCAGCAATGTGCCATCATGTGTGTAGTTTGATCCAGACAAAGACAAGGACAAAAGAGTGGGAGCTACTAGAGGAAAAATAAAGGCTCTGACGTGAATGAACAATTGATTTAAAGACAGGAAAGAAATCAAATGTTCACAAATATATCAGGTAGGAGTAAAGGGTCATTTTTCACAGAGAAAGTTTTTTACAGACCTGCAGGACTCCTGCAGGATCTGTGCTGGGACACATGCTTCTCAACATATTCATTAAAAACCTGGAATAGGAGGTGAATAGTGACATGACCAGGTTTGCTGATGCCACCAAGATTTTCAGGGCAGTAACAAGTGTGACTGACAGCAAACAATCACAGAAGGAGTAACAAGAGTACAAGAGTAACTGTATTAACATGTAAGATGAACTTTGGCTTAAATATAAAGCAGCATACACCATGAAAAATTGCAAGTTCAAGCTGAGGGAACAAGATATAGAAACCAGACTAAGCTGATGATTTCACGGAATTATGCTAAACAATTAACAAACTAAACTGAGTACTGAGAATTCTTTGGAAAGAACAAAGCTCACATCCCCATCCCCAAAGGTAAATACTAGAACTGAAAAAGGGTTGTGAAAGGCAAAAGGACAATCAAAGTTCTAGTACAAAGGATGAACTAAATCAAGACCTTTTGACTTGAAAAAAGAGGCAGCTGAAAAGGATATGATGGAGGCCTACAGAATTTTTTTTTCTGTGAAAAATCATCAGTAGCACAGAGACTATGGCTTATTTCATCTTCAATTGAACGAAATTAGCTGGCAAAATAAACGAACTGGTTTTCCAACAACATGAAGAAAAGTCATGAAACTCCTTGTTGTTATGATAAAGGTGACAAAAATTTAGAGGTCCAAGAAAAAACAGAACAAGTCTATGGAAGTGACACTCATCAAGATCTATTAAATGCAAAGATGCCAGACTCAATGAGCCTCTAAGCTGCAAATGGCAGGAAGGTGACAGGGCATTTGAGAGAAACATCACTCCATGTCTGCCTCCTTCTTATCCTCCCCCAAGACATCAGCTAAAGATGTGACAGGGCCATGTGGCCCTCTGTGGCCATATGAACCAGCACAGCTGTTCTAGTAATTGCATCACAATCTGTAATTGCTGCAGATCCACAACTCACACCACTCCAGGCTTAGAGGCAATGGACACAAGGGGAGGTAGAAGAGGGCACATTTACCTGACACCTAAACCACCAAGAAATACAGTCTTGCAGCCATGGAAGTGGCATTTTAGAGGCAATGCAGGCAGTAACTGCCCTTCACCTTCTCCAAACAAACTTCTGCACTTAATGTAAGATAACAAAGCAGCCTTGCACAGCCACAGAAACTTTTGGAACACATGCTCAAAAGAGAAGACCCATCACAGGTCTCCTTGGGGATGTTTTTGGGCTGGAGCTGAAGAGGAAAGTGAAGCAGCAGCTAGCTTCTGTGTGCAGCTCTGTGATATCAGACAAGTGACTGGGAGTGCAAGGAAGGGGAGGTGAATCCAGTAGGAAAACTGTCTGTGGTTCAAGAGCCAGAGCTCCACATACCCTCTGCAACTGCGAGTCAATCCGCCACATGCGCAGGGTCTGGTCCCGGGACCACGTAACCAGCTGGTAATCTTTAGAGCCTAAAGAGGACAGAAACAATCAGAGACCCCTCTGGGAAACACACTATCTCGGCCCTGTTCAGTGTAAACAGATTCAAACAAGCCAGCAGGCACATCCAATGGATAAGGCACTAAACTGAAATGCAGAGCAAGTCCTTTTCAGCTTCAAATTGACCCACCACAGCTGCCACAACTCTAGACAGACTGTGATTTACAAGCCAGAAGCACAAAGTATAATGAATGTGACACAACCAGAAATAAGCAAGACCCACAACAAAATCTATTTAAATAGAAGAAATAGTGTAGTAAAAATAAATGTTTCTCAACAGTAACTGTAAAGTGAAAATATCTTTTAGTTCATCAAATCTGTTTCAAGAGGTAGATGTTTTAAAACATTTATAAGCAATGAGAAGGTGGTTCTGCCCTTCCTCTTCTTGCTTCTGAATGATGCCAAGTTCAGGTTGTAAGGAAATAGATCTAACCACATACTATCTATCAACAGGCAGAGGTACACAGACCTATTTATGTCCACGTTTAGGTCTTGTGATAGAGTTTTAAGTTTCCCTTGTCAAACAGCTGCTATGCTTAAGAATTTGCTGCTGCACAGCTGCTTCCTACACCCCTCTGCTGAGGCAAAGGGGCTGTCTAAATACAGCACAACAGACTCTGTGGAAGGAAATTTGTGCTATCTTGGTTGTCTCCACACTGAAGAAGACTTGGAATGTTTGTGTGATTGATTTATGTTGCTTGAGACAAGCAAGACGTCAAACCCGGGTATGTATCTATTAACACAGCTAGGACAACCAACTGTAGCTCAAGCCTGCTTCAGTGTTCATTCACAAACTGTCTTTGACTGTGCCTCCAGATCCTAACACAGTTCTCCGTTGCTCTCCTCTTTTTGAAAGAGGAAAATCAAGGTATGGAAAAGGAGGTGACTTAACTGAATGGCCCCAGCAGCTGGTGGGAAAGGGCTGGACCAGCACTTTCACACAGCACTGCAAAGCTGTAGCACAAGTGACACCAAAGCCAGACATGCACATTCTGTCAGTAGCAGCTGAGGTGCTGGAAACAAAGCTGTGCTCTGTGTGGTTATGCAACCTCTGGTATAGAGTCTCCTATTCTTAGCTGCTTACACTAGAAAATTTAGTCAGGACTGATCTCTAACAGCAGACTCTATCCCACGTAATTCCTCCCTTGCCTTGGCCAGCACACAAATGAGGTGGGCTTGCTGGATCTGTGGTCTGGAATATGCTGGAGGCTGCTGATCCAGGCCATGATATGAGGGGCTAACTGGTTAGCCTGCAGCTCTGAGGAGGGAAAGGGTGCCTGCACTCATGCATCTATCTAAAAATTTGCAGAATTTATTCTGAAAGATTAATTTAAAAAAAGACTCCCACGAGAACGGAAGCAATGGGAGTCACCACTGACCTACTCAGCATTTGTTAGATTTGCTTTGTTAGCATGGAAACAAGGCTTCTGTAAGCACTGCCATAAAACCAGCACGGAACAGCTGTAGTTTGAGGGGAGCAGCGGGGGGCAGGAAGGTGGGCAGGAGCTACTTCAAGGAAAGGCAAGAGTCAAACAGCAACAGCACTGCAATCAGGAGCCAGGTCTCCACACCCCTGGTTAGCTGACAGACACAGTGTACAGAAGAGAGCACATTCAACCCTGAACTCACCTTCTTTCTGCTTCCTCCACTGAAACTCCAGCACCACATCATCATGTCCCACGAATGTGTGGACAGGCGTGTTCAGGTCAAAGACATTCCAGAGAAGGAGACTGTTTTCCCGACGGAGCTGGGGGACCATCACTGTCACCAGTCCATTGCTGAAAGGCTTAGAGAGAAACACCCTTCCAGTCAGCCAGGGAGAGTTATGTTCCCATGCTGCTATATATTATCATACTCCCATTTTTCCCTTCTCCCACCAACACGAATGAGAAGGTTTTAAATGAGCTCAGCACAAAACAGAACCAGGCCAAAACCTGAGAAGGTCCAAGGCAACTGCTGCACAAAAACACTGTGTCTCAAGGGGTAAAATGTAGTACAGTGAAATACTCAATGTAGCTCACTTAAGACAAGTGACTTCTTTCTGCTGCTTCCTCACTTTTCATCTGTGAGGCTGGAAGGATTTCACCACTGACTTTTCACTGGGGATCCTTACTGCAATCTGCCTGGAGCTGCATGAAGTGCTAGCTGGGGACTGAGCCCCAGCAGGGCGTCAGGGTCATGATGCTCAGAGGAACATGGAAATCAGTCCTACACCTCTTGTTGTCTGGACAGGGAAAGGGGATCAAGATTCAAGGCACAGCACAGGCTTTGGGCCACATTCAGACCTCTGGAGATTATGACTGGATGTGATGAGCCTTAGCTTTACTTGGGTGGGTGCTCGCTCACTCCTTCTCCTGAATGCTCCCACTGTGGATGTTGCTTTTCTACGCCTCTTAGGCACCAAGAAGGATTTTTAAAATCAACTTAATAATTTCCACAAGTAGAACTGGTGAGAAACCCTTTATTTAATGTCTCTTTGTGCATTCTTCTCAGAGCACAAGTGGAACTAGTGGGAGTTTCTCACTCACCGTGTATCTTGCCTTCCAGACGGGAACCTGGCAGGGAAGAATGTTGAGGTACTTCCGAGGCTGACGGTAATCCCAGAACTTGAAAAAAAAAACAAACCAAGAGAAAGCCAAGCAAAGGCAGGAATCAGCTGACTATACTTTTAAGCTGTAGTTTTCCATGTGGCTTGCAGACAGAACAGACCAAAAAGCATGCCAGGGTGCCCACAGCATCATTAGTAATCCCATTCATTACCAGCAGAGATGGCCCCAAAGGACAAATACCAAGCTATCAGCATCTGGCAGTATCCCTTAGAAAATGAGTGACTTGAGGTCATATTCACAGTGATCATAGCTTGAGTAATTAGAGCAGGGAGACAGGCAGCCTGCTTGGTCTTTCAGAGCTACAAGGTACCCTGCAGGCTGCCAGCCAACGTGCCAGTCCAGGCTGGAGGCAAGCCCACTCTGCTGTTACTGCTAATTTTCTAATGAAGAATCTAACCTTTTGCTTTGCTAGAATACACATCAATTGCATTTGCCTCAGAGCTTAGCTCAATGTGAATGAACTCCATTTGGCTGACATACAAAGCACACTACTTCCCCCCAAGTAAGAGGCCCTGCAAGCAGTGCTTGCAGGCAGTCTCTTATTGATAATCCTGTTCAACATGAGTTTGGAAACTCCAGGGGCTGAAGTATGTCTCCCCTCAAGTTGCTATAACCAGCTTGGCAACACGCATTTCAGGAAAAAGGCTCTTCTGGCGTGTGTGGTCTGTTCCTTTCTGGCAAGCAACAGGCAGAGGCAGTTGTTTTCAGCTTCAATACTGCCCTAATCACCACAGATATGTGGCAAACATATGTACACCCATTCTTCAATGATCTCTCTGCCTGTTCAGTGCAGTCGTGGCTCAACACACTAGGTGGCCAGAAACCAAACAATAAAGATCCAGATCTTGCCAATGGCAAAGCACTCCTCAAAACTTCAGCAGCAGCAGGGGATCTGCTCCACCATCCTTCCTACTCCTTAGCAGGAATTGCAGAAACAACACTTACCCTGACAGAGTTGTCCTGGCTGGAAGTGGCCAGTGTATACTCATTGTCAGGATGCCAGTCCAGACCATGGATTTTGGAGAGATGAGCTGCCAAATACTCCACTGCAGTGCTGGGTTTCTGCAAGGAGAGACATTGTCCTTCTCAGCACAAGACACTTGAAATTTGGTCTAGTTCTTTGGCATAAAAAGAGACACTTTAACCAGGGCAAGACAGTTAGAACAACCAGCCCTGCTGGGGAACAGCAAATAGATCAGCAGAAGTAGTTAAAGGAAAAGATCCTGTGAGTGTATGGCAAATTCCAGTCACCAAGTGCAGCCATAACCATACTTCATACTCAGTTAAACAGTTAAGTACTATGAGATCAAATGGAAAATGTTAATAGGTATGGTCTCTGAGGAATGAGACTACCTACATACTCTCTTCAGGCTCTTGGGCTCCCAACTCTCTCTAGTTTAAACTGACCCACAAGAGAGATATGGGATAAAGTAGTACATTTCCTCAGTATTTATCTGTCACCAGAGGAACATCTGTATTGGGTAGGTGGGAATATGTACAAACTGCTCAAAAATCTCTCAGCTTACCCTTTTGTCCCATATTCGGACATCCCCATCGTGGCTTGTTGCTAAACAGTTGGCATTTTTCTTGTTCCATTTCACCTGGGAAGCTCCAGCTGCAGCACAAACAGAGCAGCCAAAACAAGCAATTAAAGAGAAAACAGCACAGTAGTCCCATTTCCTGGGCCTAGAGCTGCTCTTAGCCCAGGAAAGGCAGTTCAGAGGAAGGATATCCCAGAAGCCAGCATGAAGGATGGCATGAAAATTATTAACGCCTGGTTCCTCCATGTATCATTTGTATCCTCAGGACAGCAAAGCAAGTGTTCCAGTTGCATGCCTAGAGATCTTTATCACATCTTCTAGCCAGGAGCTGTACCTGACCAGAATACTCATGTCCATTAGCTCTGATGGAGCAACTTCCTCCAGACCAGAAATGTAGGTTCATCACCTCCTCCCCAAATCCCCTCCCTTTTTATCCAAGGTGCTTAGGGCCTGTTTCATTCCCCACCACCTCCCATGCTATCAGCTGCTACATAGGCAACTAGTGCTATTGATCTAGGGTTAAAATACAGGTGTAGGAGAAGGCTGCAGTGCAGGTGACCTTGGGTGTAGCCACTGGGTGGACCAGAAGGTCCATCTGCCAAAATACACCACAGAAGTCAAAGACACCAATGACAGTTTAAAGAAACTGGATGATGGTCCAGATATTACTTATATGTAGTATCATGAGGGATTCAGTCAAATTAGATGATGGATGGTTATTTCTAATAGAAATAAAGCACAGCTTCAGTTAATGTAAGTTGCTCAGGTACTGTAAGCATAATGAATCTGTTCATCCTTACTCTGTCAGTATTTTCAAACCTTTCGAGCTATCAGAAAGGTGAGATCCACGAGAAAGCTAAACAGATCTCAGCCTGCTGCTATTCCCCACCTCCACTACCCACCTCCTGCTGCATGGTGAGCAGATTCATCCTGACAACCTGGCAAAAAGCTATTCTGGGGGATAAAAAGCTGCAAATAGACTGCCAGTTGATTGATTTGATCCCCTCACTGAAGGGTACACAAATGTCTGGACCAGCATTAAACAGCATCAGACACAGAAGGAAGGAAGGAAGCAAGGAAGCTTTCTGGGGAGCAGGCTGCTGGGCTGGCTCAGCTGTGAAGCCTTACCCCAGATAGCAGAACTGACCACTGCTTCTGACTCAGGTTTTTGCATTTCTGTGACAGAGAGGTTTGCAAGCTGGGAAGGGAATGAGGGCTGCTGCAGATGTGCAGCCTAAGGGCATGTAAGCAGCACAGCATGAGCACATTGTGAGGACTGCTCCTGTACTGGGGACAGTAACTCAAAGAAAGGAGTTTTGCTCGTCATCCATACCCAGTTCCAGCTCTAAACAGTGACGATGGACATGCAGCACCTGCCAGCAGGTGGTATAGCAGGGGCTGGACACTCACCTTGGCAGCATCCAGGAAAAAAGCCTTTCCAGAGCAAGCACAGCCCAAAGACAGCACCTTGTGTGCTCCCTGCATGTTGCAGGTGCCCCAGGGAAGCGGATCCAGCCAGCTGCTGTACCCAACCCTGAGTGAGGGGACAAGCTGGCACAGAGAGCTGCCTGGGGTACAGTTTAGTTCCTCAACTGATTCAACCAAACATAAAAGACATGAGGAAATTACAGACAGGCAACCCATAATAAGCAGTGCAGCATGGTGGCTGAGCAGGGAGGAAGCTCCATGGGGCTGTTCACCAATGTGGGGGCAGCAAGTCCAAGTATCAACTGCTCTGGGAACCTCAAGGGGCTCCACATCTCTTCTGAATTCTGCTTCTCTAAAAGGAATTGTGAACTGGAGCCTCTCAGGCTGCTCCTACATGGGACAATCACACATGGTGGCATTTCTGTACTTTGCCATTGGAGCATGAAGGGAGGGAAGAATAACAGAAGGAGCATGCAACAGTAATGTTGTTTAATGCCCACATTACACACATCAGACTTACCAACTGCTGAGAGTGAGACCGTGGGCTTCCTGGTGTCTCTGAAATACAATGTGGCCACTGTGAGTACACACAGCATAGTCCAGCTTTCCCAGCCAGCTCCCTGCTATTCCAGCACTAATGTTATTGCTGCCTTGGGACCTAATATACCTTCTGCTTACCAAAATACACCAGCATTAAATGGAATAAAGGTGACCAGCTAGAGGACAACAACCATCCTGGAAGTGTTTAAGGCTGGGTTGGATGGGTCTTGGAGCAACCTGGTCTACTGGAAGGTGTCCCTCCACATGGCAGAGGGATGGAAATAGATTTTTAAGGTCCCTTCCCACCCAAACCATTCTACAATCCTGTCTTGCCAGCACATGCAGCAGGAAGTTTAGGACAGAGGATAGAGCTGGACTGGGCTAGACAGAGGAGAAACATACACAAAGTGTGGCACATTGCAACTGGGTAGGCAAGGAAACAGGGCTCACAAATTGTTGCTGGGGGAAGCAACAAAACAGCCTTTCCAAGGAGGATTAAAGGAACAAACAGAACTGTGGAAGCACTCGACAAAAGCCACTGATGTGTTCGTCGAGCCTTTGCAGATCCTGATTCAAAGCAGATGGAGCAGTTACTACAGAGCAAAAACTTCATGTCTAGCATTTAATAACAAAATTAGTAGAAAATCAGCCCAGCTGTGTGCAGACCAAATTCTGTCTGTCTACAAACTAAATTCCACAGCAGCAGAAACCAATGTAGTTCCATGACAATTCCCAGCAGCTAGGGCTTTACTTCCTGGCCTTGCTCCTCAGGAATTCACCTGCTCTTTCATGAAAAGTGACAGTGAAAATAAGGAATATTGTCTTCAGCTTTTTCTGTTTGCTGAAAAGCAGAACATTTTCTGAAATGGATTGCACCTCTTTCTCTAAGAATTTCTGCCTAATCAAAAAGTTCTTTTGTATGAAAAATTAAGTGGGGAATTTCCAGCTGCCCTTACTGCAGGGCTACCTCCCCAGGGTGTCATTAGAGACAGTCACTTCAGCAGGATGTTAATTTCCTGGACACCAGCAGCACCAGGACCTCAGTGCCACAGCAAGCTCAAAGCCTTTCCTAGCACAGGTGGGATGTAGAGGCTTTCAGAGACTGCCTAAGGAAGCAGTTCTGGGCAAGTGATACAGGCAGACACAAAACAATGGAAGGGCACGATAGAGTTAAAGGAGGACTTCTGATAACAACCTTCAGAGATCTCTGTTTTTCCTGCTTGATATTAAGATAGTATCACAGGAAAACAACCAGCAGTTATTGTATCTCTATGTCTTTTAATTACACATTAATAATATATTGTCATTCTCAAGCACCATTTAACCAAGGATCTAAGTGCTTGTTCATAGGAACTAAGCAAGCCTCCGGGTAGCCTGGTGCAGTGGGGTTATATAATTATCCTCCTATTATAACTGAGCAAGGGAGACAGAGAGGAACAATGTGATTTGCTGGGGGTCATAAAAAGTTGTACTGCCAGCAAGAGAACCCAGCAGTCCTAGTGCCAGCTCCTTGCTTTTCAGGTGTAAAATCTGGGGCTTAAATCTGGACATATAGTTGGAAATATCTGCTACCCTGAAAATATTCATGGCAGAAAGCAGCACCAGGAAACAAGGGAAGGCACAAACAGGAAAACCTTCCTGAATACCCTTCCTGAATACCATTGTCAGTCTTCCCACCACTGAGGGAGAATCAGCAACAATCAATGAATTTAGTAGAAAATGGCTATAGGATGATGAAATAGTGCTCATTAACTGAGCTAAAAAAACCCAACAAGTTGAGGAACGTCCTTGGGGTCCAGGAAAAGCCCCCAAAGAAATATCTGAAGTGGGCAGGGAGTGAAGCCAGACAGTTGTTGCTGAACTGTACCACTCGACCGACCATCACTGACTCTGAATAGGGGAGCAGAAGTCATCTTGGAGACAATGGGAAGTAGCTGAAGCCCCTGGAAGCACAGCTAAAGAGCAGCACCCATCAGGGCATGCCTTGCCTTCCAAGCTGATAATTATGGAAAAGAGTCCCTGTGATTTCCCCAAAATGCAGAAACATACTGATTCTTACTTGATGTCCCAGATGTAGATGTATGTGTCCACGGAACTGGTGACCAGTAGGTCTGGCTCAAACACTGCCCAGTCCAGGTCACTGCAAAAGCAAAATCAAAGATCAGTAAAGAAAAGCACAGGCAGAGTTTGCATCAACTTCCCACAAGCTGCCAGTACATTCTCCAACAAGTTCACAGCAACTCCATGACATCTACTGAAACTTTTAAAGCAAAAAGCAAGATCTTAATAATTTCTCTAAGTAAATTCCAAGAAGCAATGAAATGCTTCTAAGTAAATTCCAGTGAAGCATCCTCCCAGCCCTGAACTTTACAGCTACTGCTGTGTGCTCTTTCCCCTCCAGGCAAAGGGACACTGTCTCAAAGAGTTCTCAGTAACCACACATCCTTGGCATCAAACCCTCACTCTGGGATGCCTCCCTGTTGGGAACACCAAGTGCACCTGGGACACAAACAGCCTCCAGTCAGCCCAAACAACTGTCATTTCAAGGGCTGCAAATACTTCCCACAGTCAGGAGCCTGAGTAAAAGCAGTCCTTCAACTGCATTTCCAACCCAGCATTAAATATGACCTTAAAACAAGAGGCAAAAATCTCCCCTGCACCACTGTAACATTCTCTAAACTTGGTCTTTGGGATTACCTGCCTTAATTAAGCTGCTATCACACAGAAACACAGCTGGGATTCAATTTAATAAACATGCTATGTTTCCCAGATGATGGCTGCTGCTCTCTACAAGGACAGCAGCCTAAGGCAATGACATTCAAGCCATCAAAGGCTAAGTTGATATATTGCAGGAGCCATGAGAGGGTGAGCCACTTCACACATGACATCATCACCAAATGGGAAGGCAGTCCAGTCCAGAGAAGTGTGTAAAAACAGGCTCAGAGCAGAGCCTGAGTGGGGCCAGGATCAAAACATTCAGCTTCTATGAAACAAGGCATTATTTTCCACGCAGCAGTCCACAGCATTGCTTGTTCTTCACCTGATCACACGTGTGTGTCCTTGCAGAGATGTGCAAACTTCTCCATTACCTTCCTTCCACTTATACAGGTCAACACGCTGATTGCTCTGCAATTAGATGGAAGAAAGGAGAGACAGTCTCAGGCCAACAAGGTAGGACATGGATCTGTGTGTTAGGTCCAGGTTCCCTTCACTTTGAGCCTCAGTTAACAATGAGGCGTGCTGTGATTAGCAAAGTCCTTGCCCAAAGCAGGAGAGCAAAGATGAAATACAGGCTGCAAGGACTTTCAAAAGCTTACACTTTTTAATGACACCCACTTAAAACTGGAGATAAACTAGAATGGGAGAAAAAGATCCCACATTGCAAAATCTTTCCATGAAATTATGTTCTCAGAGTCTTTATTTCCTAACAACATGCTGTAACTGCAGGCAACAGGCAGACAAATTCTCTCTGCAGGAATACCCTGCGAGTCTGTTAAGATTCACAACTGGAGTTTTTGGTGAGGGGGATGATGGATTACCACTGGTCGTCCTCAGCTCTCTCTCAATTCCCTTCTGGGATAATCAGGGCCATTGCCAAACACAAACAATACAGTCTAATGGCTCCAAGGTCACCTCCTCAAGGGTACTCCCTCCATCCTTGCCAGCCCAGGAGAAAAGCTCTACGGGTTTATCACTAGCTGTAAAAAACAAAGGCAAACCAGATGTATCAATGACAACATTATTTAGTGTTCCTTCACTCATTCCAGGAATAAATCCTTGCCCAAATGCAGCCACACACAAAGTTACTTGAAACTAGTTATTGTGCTGTAAGTTCATGTTCTGTCTCAATCAAGGTTCACTTCAGGCCAGGCCAACTCTTCTCCTTCTGTGGTAGAATTGCCTATGTGGGTGCACACAGAGTGCCAAGCACAATGGATCATGACTGGAAATTCATGCTGATTTTGCAAAACCAGAAAGAACATGACCTTAAAATGTTATTTTCATGAGCCTATTGTTTTCAGATTTTTAGGTAGATGAGGGAAAAGATTAGAGGCTTCATAGAAACACACAGTTTTTGAGGTTGGAAAAGACCTCTACGATTACTGAGTGCAACTGTTATCTTACAATTTTTGTCGCAGATTTTTTTTGTGGTGGTGGATTTTCTCCCTATCCCAAAGCTGCTTCATGTGAATTTCAACTTGCAGATAGATAAAACGTTACAGCTTTCTTTGAAATGGAAGGTCTCATCCAAGCTCAGCAATAATATATGACATTTCTCTAACTGCTCACAGCAGGGCTGCACAAGAGCTTAGGGCAAGAAAAAAACTCGTTGCATGTTTCTCATTGACAGAAGAATTTAAGGGGTAGAGTGAAAAGACCCAGTGGGATTTATCCAGTACTCCAGAGATGAGATACAAGATAATGATCACCAGAGAGACTGCTCCTCCCAGCAGTACCATTTTCTAAAAAACTGTGATTTTCTTAAGTATCAGTATTCACTTCCAACAATTTCATCACCCCCTTGTTCAAGAATCTGTAGCCATACAAAAGAAAAAACAAGGATCTAGGACTGAAAACAACAGCATTTCTGAAACAACAGCTTAGGAGTCCCCAAAAACATTCTTGAGCCAGAGTGCAGACACAGCCAAGCACAGCAGAAGGACTTGCTCCTGCTCTTCTGGAAAGATGGGCAGATCCCCCTCTGCCTGTACCACTTCAGTTAACAGGACTGCAAACCAGATGAGGCTGCTGGCAAAGAGGATGGCAGCCTTTTACATCCCTTTTCCACCTACAGGGATGCAGAGGGATAAGACCCTTGGGCTGTCTACTACACAGTGAAATGGTTTGAAAGATGGCATTTTTGACCCAAACTAAAAAAGCTGCCTGACCTCATATTGGAGATTCATCAACCAGCATGTGTCAGTAACCATGTTCATCATAGCCTCAGATCATCATAGCATCTTTGTTTATAAAAAGAAGCAGCAAGGTTTGATGCCAGCTACACCTGGTCTCAGTCTGAAACAAGATGGGTTCCTGTATCCACTCAGAGGAGCAAGAGGCAGGAGTGCTCAGATGGGCAAGATGAGCACAGCTCCCCTTTGTAGCAGGGGAAAAGCACTAACTCATCACTGGATATTGCCTTCAGAGTGTGTTTGAAAAGCTTTCCTGCTCCACTTGAGGCCTGTTTAGTGCATGTCCTTACTTGGTTTTGGTTTCCACAGACTGTACCCAGAAGTGGCACTGAGGGACAGCTTTTTCCAGTTTTAATCACTCTCTGCTCAGAAGCAGACTGCTGCTGAAGGCACCTGTAAGACATCAGTCATGTGCCAGAGCTGAGGAGAGACAGGCTGGAGAATGTCAGAGAGCAAACAGGCAGAGGCTCCCCACTGATAGCACCAGCCCACTTTTAAAACTGCCTTTAATTAAAAACATAGCCAATCAAGGAAGCAAAAGGAACAAAAATCCTAAGAAATCATCTTCAACTAGGTGTTTTCTCAAAAGAATAGATGGAGAGACTTCTCCATCCCCAGCTAGTCCAGGACTCTCAGGCTATAAAAGAAGACACAACACAACAGAAAAGGCAGCTCAGCCTGGAAACAGTCTGCACCTGACTGGTGCCAATTGCCACGGTGCTGTGGGTGATGGCTGAGATTTTTATAGGCAGGGCTCTGGGTGAACAAGCTGCAGAGCATGACAAAGCCAAAAACTGCACTTGGTCTCATACAGCCCCTACTGCTTCTTCAGCCCAACCCACTGCCTCATGGAACACCTCACTGATCCGGTCCATGCCCAGCTGCAAACCCCAAGCTGCAAGCCAGTATTGACCTGTGCTATTTACAGACTGCCTGGTTGCAGCAAGGCAGGGAGGTGAAAACAAAACAGCACAGAGCAAGAAATTCAAGAAGTGCACAAATCTCAGACCGGAAATCAGAAAGAGAGCACTTCCCTCCAGAAAAGGACCATTTAGATGCTTGATTTATTTGGCAAAGTGTTTTGTAAATGACAAGCTAGCAAAACTAAATTCAACCCTCACTGCCCAATAACTGACAGCCATCAAGCTGAACACCTTGCTGGCAGTAAATCAGAGTTAGGCCTTGATCTTGCAATGTGACTTGCAGAAGCACGTCTGTACCAGCTCCACACAGCCTTCAGCTCTGCAGAGGTTCAGCCATGAAAGAAAGACCAGGGAAGACGACGAGTTAGAGCTTCTAAATGAGTGAACTTACCGAAGCTGCAAAGTAGTAGGCGTAGCTGTCGTGGGGGTTCCACTGCACCGCCCCAATGTCCCACTTGCTCTGCCGGGAGATCTTCCTGTGACCCTCATTTGGGGCATCCAGGTTGACAATGTAGAGGAAACGGCGGCTGCAAGACACAGACACAAAGGGGCTGCATCTCACAGGACTAATCTCAAAACTCCAAGCCCAGAGCCTTGTGTCTAGAGGCACAAGAACCAAAAGAAGAGAAGCATTTCACAAGACAAGTGAAAACACTATTCCTGAAAATGCTACATTTGACTACATACTTCAAAACTGACTTAAGAAAAACCCGTAACACACCAACAAAGACACAGCGAAAGTAAACAGGGTCTGCAAGTGTAATACACCACGGAAAAAACCCAGATAAGTTGTTTACAAAAGAAAGTGCTGGAAAATGGTGCAAACATATTCAAATAGGGTTTGCAGGCCTAACGCTGCAACAGCAAAGCCTAAGTGGCACAGGCCTGGGAGTCCAATGCAACAGCTTCAGCCTGGATAGGTTGCTCTGAGAAAGAGTTAATGAGCCTTGACAAAGATGATTCTACGTGGGTGCTTCTTTCCACACCGGTTTGAGGGCTTGGTTCCACCGACAGTACAAAAACACCTGCACAGAGCTCATGCTCAGCTGCAGCAGCTTCTTAACGTGGGTGGACACAGTCCTGCACAGATTTGGTTCCATTACTTACCTGAACTAACTCTATATGCAGCAGAAATAATTCTGCATGATGGCAAATCTGAGCTCATACATCCTGCTGGATGTGGCCAACTCCCCACAAAGCAAGGTATGATCCTATATGATTCATCTTACAAGCAAGAGAAACCACCCAAAAATAATTGTGAGCCCTATGGAAGATCAACATCAAAACATAATGAACCCTACATAATTAACCACATGAGCATCATCTCTCAGCTGCAAAGTGACCATACAGCTGCTCTGAGCACTGGTATTCCTCCTGTTACTCCTGTGCAGCACTGCCAGACTAAGGGTTTACACGGAAGCAAGCACTGCTTTAAGCAGTACCAAAGGACTTGGTTCCTTGAAGGCTGACCAAAGATCAGCTACACTCACATGGTTCTGAAAAGAACATCCTAATTGGTGTGGCAACTGTGTCACTGACAGGAGGACAGGAATAGCTGTTAGTACTGAAAAGCAGGAGCTGGAAAGGCACTACTGAACTGGTTGAGGACTTGCCCTGGAGGTGGATACATAAGACCAAGCTCTCCAGGAAACTTGGGCAGCTTGGAAGTCTGTGGCACCTACTGTGCTTGTGAGTATCATCCCACACTGAACCAGCAGAGAAACAGGTCAGGGACCCCCATGGGAATATTTGGGGCAGATTTTGTTAGGAAATAATCTAATCCGTATTTCAAGACAATCCAAATAGTACTTAATGCTGCTCCATCTCCCATATGGGGATTTGGGAAAGAATTTACCAGGAAAGCCACACCAGTATTTTACTGCACTCTTGTTGCTGTCTCTCCACTTTGTATCCCATTGGGAACATGACCCAGAATCAGTTTTATTAAGCCTTGGACAGAATTCAGCTGCACCTTTCTGAAACAATCCATCAACCCTCCAGCTGAGGTCAGCCTGAAGGTTGGTCTGGCTTGTGGCAATGACTGTCACACTTCCAGCAGGGACTGTCACACTCACCCTGAGAGTACAGCACGCTGTCCCAAGCAATCCACTGACATGGCAGTCGCCTGTTCAAGAGAAACACAGAACAAAACTAAATAATGCCTGTCAGGTCAGCTGCTCCATCAAATCCATGGTTTAGGGAGGAGTTCAGGAAAGTAATATCCCCTAAAAGTAGCACAAGGGGGCAATGGGTGTAGTGGTTGATTTTGAGATGCAGGACAGCACTAAGAAACATCTTTGTTAGCATAAACTGAAGACAAAACCTGGCAGACAACATTATGAGTACTAAGACCTTCTCCCTGCTATGGCAATCACAGCTGCAGCCTTTCAATCAGCAATCTCTAATAATCTGTATTAATCAGCCTCTGCTCCTGCTCAGGAACTTTCTCTCAGTCTCTCTCTTTCATTATAGGGCCAGATTTAATTATATATGTACGGGGAGAGAGAAGTGCAATCATTTGTGTATGGTTGGTCTCCAAAAATGAGAGATGGCCAAGAGGCATCAGAATTTACTTTGCCATTGCTTGTAAAGAAGGCTATGAGATAACTTAAAGGCCATTAGAAAAAAAAAATTTAAAGGATTGTTTGGATATTCTCTGCCTCTTTTTGTGCAGAATGAACTGGCTGATCATCTTGTTTAAATGCCAAAAGAATAAAGGAAAATTTTACTTGGAAAGCTGAACAGTTCAGCCCATAAACATACGTATGACTTCAATAGAGTTTTGAGCATTCACAGTACAAAATCAGAATATGCCCCACATTCTTCACACTAACTGCTGTCATCTTCAAAGCTGCCTCTCTGAAGGCTCAGGATGTATCTCCTGCCTCTGTTCAGGATTTTAAGTGCTCTCAGTGTGGATGTAACAAGACTTCAGGATGTCCCACAGTTACTACTTACAAGCATCACTAAAACCTGACAGACAAGACAGAAATCGCACTCCAGTCAGATCTGACAGTAGAATACCCATCAATTCTGAGCTTTTTTAGCCAGGGCCCATCCCCTCCTTGCAAATATCCCAAGTGAGGGAAAAACAGCATCAGGGACCCATTCTTCTCTAGAGACTACATGAAATAGCTACAGCAGAGTTTCAGCAGGAGCTCATGGTAAACCAAACCCCATTTCACTACTTTTACTGTTCCAGGAACAACCTCCTTTCATTATTTTTTCCTAGGCAGCAAATCCAATCTTCTAGCAAGGTTTTCCTAGTCCTAAACCTAATGCTGTAAATAAGCAGCTAGTTTTAAGATTTCTAAATGAAAAAAGAAACAATTCCAGCTTTCGAGTCTCCACAGCACCTTGCAAAACACAGAACAAAACCTGCAAAAAGTAGGTTACTAAATCTCTAAAAAAACCAAAACCAACCAACCAAACCAAATAATTCAACAGAAGAAACAACTTTTCCCAGATGGTACATATTTTTCTTCTGAGAAATTAAAATGAGGATCACTAAAGCCACCACAGTAATCAGTTTTCTCATGTGATGAAGGGCTAGTCAGGAGACATATTTCATACAGTTGGGGCCATCTTTCCTCAAGACAGAAAAAAAACATGTCAATTTAAAGTGATTGATAATTTAATATACAAGTTTATTTTTTCTAGTGTAGGCACCAGGATCTCATAAATCCTTACAAATTGTTTTCAATAATGAGCACTGGTAAACTGTTTTTTTCCAGGCACCAAACATTATAAAAAGTAATGAACAATCAGAATGAAGTAAAAAGTTTCACACGTCAGGCTGCTACTCTGATGGATCACAAATTAAGTTGTTTTACATCAACAAACAGTTCCCTATGACACAAGAGTGTTATCTAGGCACAGGAAAATACCAAACAGCTGTCATTTAATGTGCTTGGTATAGTGATATGTCAGTCTTCACAGCACAACCTTCCAGAAGGGGGGAGTTGAAACTGAACAAACCAACCTGAAAGCAATTTTTATCCTAAAACAACACGGTGGATAGCTAGAACTGCTGTTCATGAATAACAATGACATGAGTAAGCACAGCAGGAACACTGCACATTTGAGAACTTGCTCTGAACCCACAGCCCAGGCAGCATCTTCTCAGACTTCAAGCATCTACTTTGGCATTTCACTTGATTTCTGCTAGGCAAGCCAAGGAAAAGTCCTTTTCATGTCTGAACTTTCATTAGTTTCCAATTTAGCTTCATTCTCTCCACCTGAGAGGCAACACACCAAAGCAACTTGACATGGCTATGCTGCTTTACAAGAGCTGCAAACTCTTAACAAGCAATACCAGTTCCCCACATACCTAACCTTCTATCCACTCACTGAGTTGCTACAAATGGTTCTATTTCAGCACTGGGAGTTTTACTCTCCTTTTGATAGTGCCAACAGCCCAAGAAGAGCCTGTGGGCTTTGTTTAAATCTAAGAGTACACAGACTGCCACATCTGTCAGCTTGTGCAGAAAAATGACACTTGTAGGTAACATGGGCCTCAAAACACACAGTGATTTTCTGATGTGCTACAGGTTGGGTGCTGTAGCTTTCTCATGACACACGGTGAACAAAGACAACTGCAGTGCTTGCAGAGGTGTACTGGCTATAAATATAATAGCTGCCCACTCTTTTGATTCTTGTTTCCATTTAGGTTGTTTTTGGGGTAGAGATTTTGGAGCTAGTGTGGCCTATATGCAGAGCTCAAGACTGAGTACTGGATGATTTCAGGCAAGGTGCTCCAGTTTCTCAAGCTCGGGTTACCTACCTGCAAAAATATTCCTGCAAACTCCTAAAAAAAAGCTCAGACACAAATATACAAATGAGTTTAGCCTGAAGCAGCAGTCTGGCAGCTCCAGCCACAGCAGTTCTCTGGTTTCATACAGGACAGCAGGCAGGTCAGAACAGCTCCAGGAAGATCACATCAGAGTAAAGCAAAGTGACCGAAACCCCTGTGTTCACCCTCTGCCAAGGTTAGTGCCAGTGCAGGAGTGACACTGAAACCAACTGCTGCAGCATGGGATGGAAACACCTGTCCCTTCTGCTCCCACACACCAGACATTATGAGTAAGCAATAAAGTCATGAGGCCTTCTATCTCCTGAGCCAGATGCAATGTGAATCTCTGATACAGGAAGATGTACCCTCGTATCTCATTACTGGCTTCCTGAGGGCAGATCCTCAGGAGCAGACGAGGCTGCTTTAATGCTTCTGGGAGGAAAACTAATACAAAACTTTTGAGGTACAAAAGCAAAAAGTTTTGTGAGCTTACAGAGGGTAGGCTGGATGCAGCACTCAAGATTCAATGCCTCTGTTTGCAATGGTGAAGGCAGAGTTGTTACTCTCCAGCACAAGAGGACAAATGACACGAAAGAGCTTCCAAAGCTATTTTTAAAATCTTTCTGGGTTTCCTGCTGAAGTAGTTCATAGTTCACCCACTGTATCTAGCTTTAAGCTATTGCCAACACCTTAAACTCTCCCACGTTTCTTAGAACAGAATCATAGAATCCTAGAACGGCTTGGGTTGGAAGGGACCTTGAAGATCATGTTGTTCCAAATCCCTGCCATGGGCAGGGACACCTTCACTAGGTTGCTCCAAGCCCTGTCCAGCCTAGCCATGAACACTTCCACGGATGTAAGAACAACTTCTGCAACAGCATGTGAACAAACTCTGAGCAAAGTTCTACTGTCACCATCAGCTTCAAAAACAAAAGCCGACCTTTTTGCTATTTACAAGAAAATAAAGCCCGCTTTTTATTTTAATCGAGCAACACTCATCAGCAATTTATTTAGCAGTGAGACAGTAGCTGTAACAGTCTCTGGGAAAACTGACAGAGCCATAGAATGGTTTGGGTTGAAGAGACCTTAAAGCTCATCAGGTTCCAAGCCCCTGCCATACGCAGACATTTTTCACTAGACCAGGTTGCTCAGGGCCGCATCCACGCTGGCTTTGAACACCTCCAGCAAAAAGAAATGAGGAAAGACGTGTGGGAAGTGACAATATCGCATATTAGGCCTGATAATGTATTTTTTAAAAATACAAGCCCTAATTACGATTAAAAGTGCCCCGTAAAACAAGGCGTTATCTCCGCGCAAAAGACTGCAGACCGCCTCAGCCCCGGCCATCGCCGCCGAAAGGCCCCGCGGGGCCGCCGAGCCCTCTCGGGCCGGACCTCCCCCCGCTCCGCTCGTCACGGGCCGGCCGGGGGCTGCCCCCGCGGCGCGGTGATGCGGCGGCCCCCGGGCCCCCCGACCTGGGCGTCGCGGAACTCCACCACCACATTCTCGCTGCTCCAGCGCGCCGCCATCTTGGGCCGCCCCGGCGGAGCCTGCGCGGGGCCTGCGCACTGTGGGGCGCCGTGCGGGGGCTGCTGGGAGATGTAGTCCCGCCATTCACCACCCCCCACCCGCCCCCGGCCCGGTGAACTGGGGCAGTGAGTGCCGTGGAGCCAGTGGGGGGGGTCCCACGGCCCGAGAGGGGTGCCCGTGCGGGCCCGGCCTTTCCAGAGGGGCTCTGGCCGCGGAGGCCCACGGGTGGTCGCAGCCCCGCTGCAGAGCAAGATGTGTGCGTGGCGTGGGTCGAGGGTTGTGTTCCGCGGGGCAGCGCCCGCTCGTCGGTGCAGCGGCGGCTCCGCGTCCCGCGGCGGCGGCGAGCGCAGCGCCGGGCGGCGGCGGTGCAGGGGTTAAGGGCGGCGGGCCGGGGGGGCCGGGGGCGGGAGCATGCGTGCTGCCGGCCGCTATTGTCTCCGGCGCGGCGCCCAGCACCAGGCGGCGGCCGCAGCGAGGCCGTGCCCGGCGCAGCGCAGCGCAGCGGAGCGGGGCGCACCGCCCCCGCCGCCTCCGCCGCCCATGGGCCGCAGCTGATCCGCGCCCGGCTCCCGGCCGCGCCCCGGGCACCAGCGAGGCGGGCGGAGCGACCCTGCCGGCGTCCACCCCCCCTCCCCCGCCGCTCCCTCCCCGCTCCGCGGCCCCGGAGCCCTCGGCGGCCTCCGCCGGGGGTGACGGCGGCGGCGGCGGCGGACTCGGGGCGCCCTCGCCCCTGCGGGCCCGGCGGGGGGAGGATGCCTGGGGCGGGGATGGGTTTTCGCCCGTAGCTCCCCGCGCCCCCCCGCTTCCTTCCGCCCCCTCTCGCCTCCCAGCGGGGGCGGCGCGGCCCCGTTCCCCGCGGGGGGCTGTCGCTCGGCTCCCTCCGGCCCGGCGGCGCCCACATGGGGGGCAAGCAGAGCACGGCGACCCGCTCGCGGGGCCCCTTCCCGGGGGTGTCGACGGATGACAGCGCCGTGCCGCCGCCGGGAGGAGGTGGGGGGCCGCCCCCCTTCGGCCATTACCGGGCGGGCGGCGGCGGCGGCGCGATGGGGCTGCGCAGCCGCTCCGTCAGCTCGGTGGCCGGGATGGGCATGGACCCGGCGGCGGCCGGCGCTGTCCCCTTCGGGCTGTACGCGGCGGCGGCACGGGCGGCGGGGGAGGCCGAGCGGGCCCCGGGCGGCGGCGGCGGTCCGGGCTCCGACTCCACGTACGCCCATGGCAACAGTTTCCAGGAGACGGGAGGCGGTCACCATAGAGACGGGATGCTGTACCTGGGCGCCAGGGCCTCGCTGGCCGACGCGCTGCCCCTTCACATCGCACCGCGGTGGTTCAGCTCGCACAGCGGTGAGTGCCGGTTCCCCCGAACCTTCCCCCGGCTTCCGCTCCCTCCGTGGGTTCCCGGGGGCGGTGGTGGGCGCGGTTCACCCGGGAAGGGATAGCTGCCCCTCTCTTGGACCCTCATCCCCATCCCCTCCCCGGCACAGACGGGTGGCTGCCTGCTGGAGCTGGCATCTGTGTCAAGGTCAAGGGAGGAAGGGGCTGTGAAGGGAGAAGGCTTTCTAGAAGGGAGGTGTTTTTGCTCTAGGATATGAAGCAGTGGACGTGGCACCCCCCCTTGACTTGGGGGATAGTGGCTTTGAGGCCTTGAAGGTGCTGTAGCTCAAGACCTTGGGTTTTGCAACCAGGCTGAGCGCCTTGTATCTCTTCTGAAGGTGTTTGAGGATTGCTATTCAGGTGTAGCAGTTTCCGGCCTTAGAAACTGGGAAAGAAGCAGAGGAAGCCTTTGAAAGCAAAGTGTGGGGGTCTTTATTTTTTCCCTTTGTTTTGTCTGATAAAGGGCCAGGGAAAGACCAAAGTGGGTTTTCTCTTTCAAGCCAGCTGGCAGTACTGTGGTGCTGAGGAGGAAGCAGAGGAGGAACTGCCTGCCTCTTTAACAGGGCTGGGGGGCCAGCTGGGCTCTCTTGCAGGAAACATGTCAGCCTATGGGAAGGAGCAAGGTTACCTTCTTCACCCTCCTGGCTGGACTCTTCTATGTGTCCTGGTGTTTGGAGAGGAGCTCTGGCTGCGAGCAGGGCTGTGTCACTGACCTAGTTTTGGCTGGGTAGAGGGAGCGAGGTGGGAGGTCCTCCCTTCCCCTCCTGGCTGGAGGGGAAGTCATTTCAGGGATGTCTCCCTGCATTTCCTGGAATAGTCTGGGATTTCTCTCCCACCCGTCCCGTTTGCAAATGTTGTGTTCTCCTTGTGTGACGTGGTCTGGGAATTTCATAATATGCCTTGGGACAATGCCTCATTTTCAGGAAGGCCTGAGACTGAAGCAGTGGATAAGAACAAAGTGCAAGAAGAGTCTCGTGGGGCCCATTTTCTTGCTTCTTGGAAAAGAAAACTTGGGATTTTTTTTTCCCTTTGCCCAGTCTCCAGGGGCTGCTCTTCTCCATTAAATCGAAGCTGTGTGTCTTGCATTGCATCCTCAGTGGCAGAACGCCCCACGTCTGATTCCTATTGATCCGGATAAGCCGGGAGCTTGCCATCCTTCCTGGCAGATGGAGGGAGCTGGCATGTGGCACCGGAGTTGAGACCAAGCACTCCTGCAAACTTTCTTGCTCTGTGACCTTGCACAGACTGTGCTGCTGCTCTGGTTTCTAAATACAGAGAGACACGAAGGCACAGCATCCTTCCAGGTATTCCACAAGCCTCTGTGGGAATGAGGCCCATGGGGGCTTCTGCTGTGCCTGGTGCTGGAGTGAGGAGGGTCTCATTACAGAAGCACCCTGCAGCTCACAGTGGTTTATCAGAGAGTATCAGTTGCATCTTAAACCACAATGCTGAGAGGCAAAAACCTGTTCAGAAAAATAAACCAGCTGCAAAATGGAGTAAGCGGTTTTTCAGCCACTTGAGCGAGTTAGTGCAGTGCTGCTAAGTTAAACACAGTGCCCTTGAAAGATTGCAGCGTGAGCTGTGGGAAGTGCTGCAAGAACTGGGTTTCTCTGGTGCCTCTTTTGGGGCCCTCTGAGAGCATTTGAGCTGAGCTGAAGCGTGTGCAGGCAGCAGTGAGAGCTGTTCAGTCTGTGCCGAAGCCTCTCCCGGTGGTGGTTCTTCCTCGTTGCTAATTAATAGCAAAAGGAGTGGAGGATGCTTAAAAACCCTTCTGAAAACTTGTCAGAGCTCATTTAACTTTTTTGCTCTTCCTCTCTTAGTGTAAGAAGTTAATGAAGGATTTGGAGTCTGCAGGGAAGGGGGGAAGTAAGCCACCACAAGATTGCTGAAATTCCTGTTAATCTCCTGTTGCAGCTGGTTAACCTCCAGCAGGGCAGTCAGGAGCTACTTGTGTCTTCCCCCCTGCCTCCCCATCGACCTGCTCCTCTCGTGGTGCTGAGCCACTCCATTAGCCACTGGAAAGTGCTGAAGCAGCAGTGCTCTGGTAAATGGAGACGAGCTTTGACATTGCTGCGTGTGACTGTCCCTGCTCCCTTTGAAGGATGACTCGAGGGTGGGGATGAGGGGACCCGATGTACCAAACCCACTCAGCATGAGGTGTGCCTGGGGATCTCTGGGATCTGCCTGAGCTACTTTTTACTAGCAAGGAGAGGAGCCCCCCAAACTCGGTGGATAACAGGGCTGGAGAGTGGATTCTTGCCCTGCCTACCCCTTTCTGGAGACCTGGATGGTGCTGTTCTCTGCATGTGGGTTGCATTCACATTTTTCGAGGAGCACTTGGGTTTGGGGGATGAGCTGGAAGCTCAGAGTGCAACCTGAGCTCTTGTGGGGTCGTCAGTAGGACAAGGAGGAGCCATGAGGGCAGTGATAAGTGCTGCTGTTGCAGCAATGTGCCTATGATAACAGGAGCACACAGATAGTCCTGGCGCCTCGCTGCTCCCTGTATCTGCCATGCGGAGTTTCTGTGTCTCTCCAGCTGCTTCATGGCTCATCGGGCCCCTCAGCAGGGACCCTAAGGAGTGAGCTGGGGCAGGCTGAGCTTTCTTCCCTGCTTAGTGTCATTCCTTTCCCTCTCTGCAGTTGAAGGCCTGCAGAAAAGCTAGGTGTGCCTGGGGAGGAAGAAAGGATTGTGCTGGGAAGCCTGTGCAGAGAGAGATTGCAAAGTGGTCTCCAAGGCCGGTGAATGCTGCAGCATCACTGTAAGATGCTGTGCATGGGGATGGTCAATGAGAAGAGCCCACTGCTGAATCCCTCTGGGCTCCACTGTGGCTGCTGGGATGCCAGGATGGAAGGAGCAGTTAGATACTGATGGCCTCTAGCCTGTCCCTGGATGAGATGAGGAAAGCTGCTACCCTTGTGAACAGTGAAGCCTATGTATATCTTCTAAATGGGGTGGGCAAGGAGCTCTCATCTTTATGGTGGAGCTTGTCCCTCCCTCTGAGTGGACAGCACCTCTGTGGGTGAGTCCTGTTTCCTGATGGGGCTTTTCCCAAGGCATGCCTACCATGTACACAAGCAATGTAACTGTTCCAGCACCACCTGAAACTGCTCTGGGATTTCCCTGTCTGCCCAGGATTTCTGATATCTACTTCTTGGCCTCCACAAGTGGAAAATAACATATCTTGCACAACTTTGGAATTTGCCTGTAGCACTTGACCCTGCCTCTGTAGGCTTATGACTATTTAGGACTTCTCAGTAAAGCCAAGGCTAGCGGGAAGAAGGGAGAAAAGGGAGATGTGTGATTTAGTGCTACATGTCTCCGGCTTTGTGTGGTTCTCTTAGTATCTCTCATGTTATTCATCTTCATCAGAGGATCTAAGGGAGTTTGCAGAGGCTGTAAGTAGCTTAAAGTTTATCTGGAAATCCCACTCATCACCCAAGCCCTTGAGTGTTTGAAGCTCTAATAAATCCATATCTCCTTGTCTGCTAGCTAGCCCAAGGAAATGTCTAACTCATCCTCCTGTGCATTCCTACCAGGAATGTCACAGGCTTTCTGTGCACTGACAAAGCAAGCTGTTTGTCCTGGATGCTGGTAGCACCAATGTCAGGAGGCTTTCTTTGCCAAATGAGCTGCTGTGTTCTCAGCAGCACTTTCCTGGAGCAGGAGGGCCCAGCCTGAAGAAGATGGCAAAGTTTTTAGGGCAGAGATGGCAGCCAGGGTGCTGGACTGAGTCTTTCTCCAGGCACAGATTGAGAGCAAAAGAGGTTGGAAATGCTCTTCAATCTGGCTCCAGAGTAGCAGGGTGGGAAATAGGGGTTGTTCGTTGGAGGGTGAGCTGAAAATGTGTGTGAACACCTGTGTTGGGCAGCCCCAGTCTCTGCAAGCTGAGAAGAGGCTTGTCTGTGGTGGGTCCTGAGCCTTTTATCACGGGTGCTTGGCAATCCTTGCTCCTCAGATAGTCCTGCCACTGCAGTCTCTACACCAGAACAAGAAGGCTGAATTCTAGCTTGCTAGTCAGCTGCTCTCAGCCCTGACTGTCCTGCCACAACTTGTCACCAGCGTGTTCTGGCAGCCAAAATGGTCCCACTGTGTCCCATGGTGTATCAGGCAAAGCACTGCCAGCTGGTCAAGGGAGGTGATTGTCCTGCTCTGCACTGCTGTGTCTGTGTGTGCAGATTTAGGTACCACTATACAAGAAGGATATAAAGCTGTTAGAGAGCATCCATAGGAGGGACATGAAAATAGTGAAGGATCTAGAGGGGAAACCATATGAAGAGCATCTGAGGTCACTTGGCTTGTTCTGCCTGGAGAAGAGACTGAGGGCAGAGCTCACTCTGGGCTGCAGCTTCCTCAGGAGGGGCACCAGAGGGTCGGCACCAATCTCTGCTCTCTGTGACCAGGGACAGGACCCAAGGGTATATCATGGAGCAGTGCTAAGGGAGGTTTACATAGGATGTTAGGAAAAGGTTTTCACCCAAAATGTGGTGGGCATTGCAAGGCTCCCCAGGGAAGTGGTTGCAGCACCAAATCTGACAGAGTTCAGAAAGTATTTGGACAGGGCTCTCAGGCACATCTTGTGATTCTTAGGGTTGTCCTGCTCAGGGCCAGGAGTTGGATTTGATGATCCTTGTGGTTTCCTTCCAAATGAATCTATGAAGTTTTCAACTTGAGATATCATATGTGCTTCCCTCCCCCCTTCCAGGAGCTAGGCCTGGGGAAGGGCACCCCAAGGTCTGCATGAACTTGCTATTCTGAATCTATTTTTGCTAGTGGAAATTTCCAAAGATGACTGTCCTCAAACCATCTTTTTGTGGGTTTGGTGCTGGTTACTGTCTGACAACCGGATCAAACACCTGCATCATTGCCAGACCTGCAGATCATTTGGGAAGTGCGTGCAGAATGACTCCCCACACTGGTGATGTTGAGCTGTTGGGCGCTCCAGGTCTGGAGAGGATGCTTTTCTGCTTCT